CATTTTCGAGTATGCAGTTTTATTACCCTGATAGTAAACAACACAGGCCCGCTTTCCGAATTAAAATTGGATCGTTTTTGGCTAAGTTATGAATTTTTAAACTTTGATTGGTCGAAAAAAATGTAGTAAAAAAATGTGGACAAATATTGACTCAAAGTATGGTATTGTAATTTTAGTCAGAAAATTTTTACGTTGTGAAGGAGTCATTTTCGAGTAAGCAGTTTTATTACCCTGATAGTAAACAACACAGGCCCGCTTTCCGAATTAAAATTGGATCGTTTTTGGCTAAGTTATGAATTTTTTAAACTTTGATTGGTCGAAAAAAATGTAGTAAAAAAATGTGGACAAATATTGACTCAAAGTATGGTATTTTAATTTTAGTCAGAAGCTTTTACGCTATGAAGGAATCATTTCCGACCCTATAAATCATATATATTCTTGATCAGCACGATCAGCCGAGTCGATTGAGCCGTCTCCGGCCAAAATCTATTTTTTTCCAAATCTCCGAAAATTTAAAAATTTTATAAGGGGTTACATCATTAAAATTGCCAAAAATTGGAAAAAAATCGAATCTCTTTAAATGTTAAATTGAGTATGCAGTTTTTTAAACTGATAAAAACTAGCATTAGAACGCTTTCCGAATTAAAATTGGATCGTTTTTGGCTAAGTTATGAATTTTTAAACTTTGATTGGTCGAAAAAAATGTAGTAAAAAAATGTAGTAAAAAATGTGGACAAATATTGACTCAAAGTATGGTATTTTAATTTTAGTCAGAAGCTTTTTACGCTATGAAGGAATCATTTCCGACCCTATAAATCATATATATTCTTGATCAGCACGATCAGCCGAGTCGATTGAGCCGTCTCCGGCCAAAATCTATTTTTTTCCAAATCTCCGAAAATTTAAAAATTTTATAAGGGGTTACATCATTAAAATTGCCAAAAATTGGAAAAAAATCGAATCTCTTTAAATGTTAAATTGAGTATGCAGTTTTTTTAAACTGATAAAAACTAGCATTAGAACGCTTTCCGAATTAAAATTGGATCGTTTTTGGCAAAGTTATGTATATTTTAAACTTTGATTGGTCGAAAAAATTGTAGTAAAAAAATGTGGACAAATATTGACTCAAAGTATGGTATTGTAATTTTAGTCAGAAAATTTTACGTTGTGAAGGAGTCATTTTCGAGTAAGCAGTTTTATTACCCTGATAGTAAACAACACAGGCCCGCTTTCCGAATTAAAATTGGATCGTTTTCGGCTAAGTTATGAATTTTTTAAACTTTGATTGGTCGAAAAAAATGTAGTAAAAAAATGTGGACAAATATTGACTCAAAGTATGGTATTGTAATTTTAGTCAGAAAATTTTTACGTTGTGAAGGAGTCATTTTCGAGTATGCAGTTTTATTACCCTGATAGTAAACAACACAGGCCCGCTTTCCGAATTAAAATTGGATCGTTTTCGGCTAAGTTATGAATTTTTAAACTTTGATTGGTCGAAAAAAATGTAGTAAAAAAATGTGGACAAATATTGACTCAAAGTATGGTATTTTAATTTTAGTCAGAAGCTTTTTACGCTATGAAGGAATCATTTCCGACCCTATAAATCATATATATTCTTGATCAGCACGATCAGCCGAGTCGATTGAGCCGTTTCCGGCCAAAATCTATTTTTTTTCCAAATCTCCGAAAATTTAAAAATTTTATAAGGAGCTACATCATTAAAATTGCCAAAAATTGGAAAAAAATCGAATCTCTTTAAATGTTAAATTGAGTATGCAGTTTTTTTAAACTGATAAAAACTAGCATTAGAACGCTTTCCGAATTAAAATTGGATCGTTTTTGGCAAAGTTATGTATGTTTTAAACTTTGATTGGTCGAAAAAATTTTAGTAAAAAAATGTGGACAAATATTGACTCAAAGTATGGTATTGTAATTTTAGTCAGAAAATTTTACGTTGTGAAGGAGTCATTTTCGAGTAAGCAGTTTTATTACCCTGATAGTAAACAACACAGGCCCGCTTTCCGAATTAAAATTGGATCGTTTTCGGCTAAGTTATGAATTTTTTAAACTTTGATTGGTCGAAAAAAATGTAGTAAAAAAATGTGGACAAATATTGACTCAAAGTATGGTATTTTAATTTTAGTCAGAAGCTTTTTACGCTATGAAGGAATCATTTCCGACCCTATAAATCATATATATTCTTGATCAGCACGATCAGCCGAGTCGATTGAGCCGTCTCCGGCCAAAATCTATTTTTTTTCCAAATCTCCGAAAATTTAAAAATTTTATAAGGAGCTACATCATTAAAATTGCCAAAAATTGGAAAAAAATCGAATCTCTTTAAATGTTAAATTGAGTATGCAGTTTTTTTAAACTGATAAAAACTAGCATTAGAACGCTTTCCGAATTAAAATTGGATCGTTTTTGGCAAAGTTATGTATGTTTTAAACTTTGATTGGTCGAAAAAATTTTAGTAAAAAAATGTGGACAAATATTGACTCAAAGTATGGTATTGTAATTTTAGTCAGAAAATTTTTACGTTGTGAAGGAGTCATTTTCGAGTAAGCAGTTTTATTACCCTGATAGTAAACAACACAGGCCCGCTTTCCGAAATAAAATTGGATCGTTTTCGGCTAAGTTATGAATTTTTTAAACTTTGATTGGTCGAAAAAATGTAGTAAAAAAATGTGGACAAATATTGACTCAAAGTATGGTATTGTAATTTTAGTCAGAAAATTTTAACGTTATGAAGGAGTCATTTTCGAGTATGCAGTTTTATTACCCTGATAGTAAACAACACAGGCCCGCTTTCCGAAATAAAATTGGATCGTTTTTGGCTAAGTTATGAATTTTTTAAACTTTGATTGGTCGAAAAAAATGTAGTAAAAAAATGTAGTAAAAAAATGTGGACAAATATTGACTCAAAGTATGGTATTGTAATTTTAGTCAGAAGCTTTTTACGCCATAAAGGAATCATTTCCGACCCTATAAATCATATATATTCTTGATCAGCATCAACAGGGGAATCTTTTTAGCTATATCCGGGCGAAAAAAAATTTTTTCAGAAGTTTCCCATTTTTTGAAAAAAAGGAAAGGGGTTACTTCATTAAAATATTGAAAAATCGGCCAAAATTCACATTTTAAATTGAGTATGCAGTTTTCTTATCCTGCTAAAAATGAACATAACAACGCTCTCCGAATTGAAATGAATGCATTTTTAGCTTAGTTATGAGATTTTTAAATTTTGGTTTGTAGTAAAATTTGCATATAAAAATATAGTTAATATCGACTAAAATATGGTATTTCACCTTCAGTCCGAAGCTTAAAAGAAAGTAAAGGAGTCATTTCCGACCCTATAAATCATATATATTCTTGATCAGCATCAACAGGGGAATCTTTTCAGCTATATCCGGGAGAAAAATTTTTTTCAGAAGTTTCCCATTTTTTGAAAAAAAGGAAAGGAAATATTGAAAAATCGGCCAAAATTCACATTTTAAATTGAGTATGCAGTTTTATTAACCTGCTAAAAATGAACATAACAACGCTCTCCGAATTGAAATTAATGCATTTTTAGCTTAGTTATGAGACTTTTAAATATTTTATGTGTAGTAAAATTTGCAGATAAAAATATAGTTAATATCGAATAAAAAATGGTATTTCACCTTCAGTCCCAAGCTTAAAACTAAGTGAAGGAGTCATTTCCGAGACTATAAATCATTCTTGATCAGCATCAACAGCCGAGTCGATCTTGCCATGTCCGTCTGTCCATCTATCTGGCCGTCAGTCTATCAGTTTCAACGCAATCTAGTTTCTCAGTTTTGAAGCTATCTGAATGAAACTTTGCAATTAGTCTTCTATTTACTCCCACTCGTATATACACATTTCGGAATGGGCCGAAATGGCAGACTAAATCTTTTAGGTGCCAATCGAACAATCAGAAAATGTTAACAAAAAAAGGTATAACTTCTTCAGTATTCAATAGAATTTTATTATTTTATCTTCTTGTTTCTGTTTATTAGACGAGGCGCTTTCTTAACCTATCTGAATCTAGTTCTCTCCAACTTTATATATATTATTATTATTTTGTAGGGGATTTCAGAGGCTCGAGTGCCAGGAACGGGTTGCAATGATAATGCGATAATTTATATTGTAGGTTGCTTTTTCATTAAACATTAAACAAGCAATCTACTATAGAAATTATCGCAGTCGTTTGAGAGTTTCAGTTCGATTCAGCTGGGGATCTTTCCCCTTGTGGCTTAAAACAATTTTTTAAATTCGAAGAAATGGTAAATATCAGACCATATTTATTTATATAATTCTTTTTATTTAAACAAACCTAGCATGTTAGAACAAAAATTTAATAACGGTGCATTTTTGAATTATCAGAGAATTTTCTTAACAAAATAGAAACATAACCAACGGGAATCAAATAAGAAAGCCTTGTCAAGGAAATAATAATATATTATATCCAAATGAATCTTCCTTATCTCAATTAAAATTTCCTATTACAAGAACACTGTAGATATATCAAACAGCAATTTTTCCATCGAAATAAACTTAGGATAAACATAGGAACCACGCGAAAGAGCAATAAGAATCGAAGCCCAGAGGAGACCATAGTAAGGGCAGCATAATTTGACCATTGCTCTTTCTATATAAATCAAAATGTTTAAAAATAAATCCAGGCGAAGCATAAAACTCAGGAACATTTTAATAGATGTCACTTGGCCTTCTCGTTTTTACCACAAGCCCGTGAAAGATGGCCTCTTTTCAAATTTAATGGGCTCTCTAGGTCCAATTAACATATATAGATATATATGTAGCTATCTGGAAACAAAAAGTAATACTATTTATTAGTCGCCGGAAAAACGTCGTTTGAGTCGGATGCCAAAAAATATTCGCAAATGGAATGGTTTATTTAGATTGCTGTAATATCTGAATTTGTTTAAATTTTCAATTTAAGCTTGCTGACTTTAAATTAAATTTAAAACATGAATACAATGCAGCTTACACTGCTCTGTGGACTCCTTTCGTCTGGAGGTTTCTATTCCCAGCTTGAGTTAGCGGAAGGAGCCAAGATTCTGGCGGTGTACGCCTATCCAGGTAAAGCTAGTCTCAACTGAAACATATCTTTCCAATCCTATTACAATACAAATATTCTTGATCTAGGCAAATCGCATTTCATGATGAATACGGCACTGATGAGAGAACTCGTTGAAAGTGGCCACCAGGTGACCATGATCACGGCCTATTCCTTGGAAAAAGAAAAGCTGGGCGACAACTTCACGGAGATCGTAATAGAACCCGTATATGATTACTGGCATGATGGTGAGTAAACAATGAATAACAAGTCACCATAAATGTGATGAAATTTCATTCCAGTCAAGCAGAATTTTAAAGCAGATCACCTGTTCGAGCTGACCCGGCTAACCAACGATGATTTCCTGAATATGCTAGAGATCATAGGTGTGAAGACCACGGAACACGCTCTCAAGCAGCCCAAGGTTCAGGCTCTTATCCATGCCAAGGAAACAGTAGGTGTCTTTGATCTTCTCCTCGCAGAGCAATTCTACCAGGAGGCCTTCTTAGCTTTGGCCAAGATCTATAAGATACCCGTGGTGACCACCAGCACCCTTACTTACGAGAACAGCATGAGTCAGATGATGGGTCTGATCTCACCTTGGTCCTTTGTCCCACACGGTTTCTCTCGCTTCACGGATCGCATGAGTTTCCTGGAGCGAGTGACAAACTCGTATCTATCTTTGTACGAGGACTTGCACAGGCTCCTCAGCTACTTTCCCAAGATGGATGCGGTGACCAAGGAGTTCTTTGGCTCCGTTTTGGGTAAGATTAAGGAGGAGGAGCATACGAAGCTTCTTACGAATCATCATCGTTGTTCCTTGCAGCTGAGGTTCCGAAAGTCAAGGACATGGAGCGGCAAATCTCGGTGATGCTGCTTAACAGTCACGCTCCGTTGACCACGGCACGTCCCACGGTGGACGCCATGGTCCCAGTGGGTGGCATGCACATATATCCGCCCAAGGCTCTCCCCCAGGACATGCAGGACTTCTTGGATGGCGCTGGTGAGGCGGGAGCCATCTACTTCAGCCTGGGCAGCAATGTCCAGAGCAAGGATATGCCGCCGGAGATGCTACGCCTATTCCTACGGGTATTCGGCTCACTTCGGCAGCGGATTCTGTGGAAGTTCGAGGATGAGAGCATTGGTCAACTGCCCGCGAATGTGATGGTAAGAAAGTGGCTGCCCCAGGCCGATATCCTGGCTCATCGCCAAGTCAAGGTGTTCATCACGCATGGCGGCCTTTTTGGCTTACAAGAGGGTGTCCACTACGCGGTGCCCATGCTGGGAATCCCCATCTACTGTGACCAGGTGAGCAATGGAGAGTAGTCCCCCCCCGAAAATAAGTGATAATAATCGAAATACTTTACTTTTAGCACCTCAACATACACCAGGCCGTTCTCGGTGGGTATGCCATCAGTCTGCAATTCCAGTCCATCACCGAGGATATCCTAAGGCAATCCCTGCTTCAACTCCTACACAATGGAACCTACAAGGAGAACATTCAACGAGTGTCTAATATCTGGAGGGATCGCCCGCAGGAGCCGCGCCGAACCGCAGTCTATTGGATCGAGTACGTCATCCGGTATGGAGGAGCTCCGCACATGCGATCCGCTGGCCTGGACCTCAACTGGTTCCAGTTCTATCTCCTGGATGTGATTGCCTTTGTTGTAGTCGTTTTCATAGCTGGAATCATGGCCATTTGGCTGGCCACTCAAATGCTAATTGGCAGTAAACCATTAAACTGAAAGGAGTAATTTCTGATTCTAAAAATGTATTCATTTTGCTCTTGATCAGTATCAAGAATATAATATAACACTTAATAAAAAATTAAAAAAAAATTATAGCTTTTATTTTCCGGTAAAAGAATTGGAAAAAATATTTTTGAAGAATTGCTGCGTTAGCAATAGAATTATAATTTCCATTTGGAAGTCGATCATCATTACTAAGCATAATATATTTGCATTCATTAATTTGACATTTATCCATTTTTTGTCTACTGAAATTTTTGTAAAAAATCAAAATTTAATAATTTTATAAGTAAGCCAAAAATGCTTTTTATTTAATTCGGCAAGCGTTCCTATGTTAGTTTTTATCAGGCTAACAAATTTGCATACTCAATTTCAAGTTTTAAATAATTCAAAATTTCTTCTCTTAGTTTAATTCTCTTAGTTCTCTTAGTTTAATTTTATATAATTATATTTAATAACTCAAACATGTTTTGCATCTTTTTTCTGTCTGAAAAGATTACTTTGATTGAAAGCCTCACCTGTCGCACGAATCTCACATATTATTCACGGAATACTTGTGGAGGGGCTTCCAGAGAGACTTAGATTAACCTCTTAAAAACGGGTTTCATATTAGAGAACGATCGAGATCGATCGATTTTATAAACAAATTAAGCTATTTTATTAGTTCCTAATCGCAGTCGTTGGCGAGTTGCAGTTCGTGTCGGATGTGGATTGTTTCCCAGTGAAAATGGTTTGTTAACGTTATTTATTTTAATGCTATATTTAAAACAAAATTAAAGTACTCAACGATAAAGATAATAGAACCACTTAAAGGTATCAGTCAGTGTTCTCAACAAAATAGAAACGTAACCAACGGCTATAAGATAAGATAAAGTTATCAAGTAAACGATAATTCAGGAGGCAACAGTTACCTACCTTAACTTTATTTTAAAAGAACTAAAAACTATAATTGGAAATATGGAGTCATTATCAGCGGAAAAATTTAGTATCTTAAGAGTTAAGAGAAAGCAAAGAAAAGAGAAGTAAAAAAACGTGAAAGCAGAATTTTCCCATTACTCTTTCCATATAAATCAAAAAGTTTAAAAATAAATCTAGATGAACCAAAACACACAAAACACATGAATTAATGTTCAAGTTAAATTATGTTATACATAATAAAAACACATAAGACTAGGGATATTTTATCATAATGCTCATACTTCTCTATATTTTATATAAATTTTAATGATCTACTAGCCCTTGGCCTTCTCGCTTCCATTGAAAATTGCCACTCTACAAATGTTAGATGACCTATTAATAAATATGTGTACATAGCTATATGAAAAGTAAAACTATTTTTTAGTCACCGGGAAATCTTTGCTCGTGTCGGGTACCGAAAAATATTCAAAATCCAAATGGTTTGTTTACTTTTCTATTAGAAATTAAGGAATTACATAATATTACTAATATTTTATTTTAATAGTTTATTTTTTTATGATCAACATAACGAAAATAAATAACATTTTATCCAACAGCAATTCCGGAGCTTTTTAAACATTTTCCTCCTGAGTCTGGTGGCTCTTCAGCAGCTGGACTTGGGCTCTAGTTCTCGGATCTTGGCAGCCTTCTTCTTTCCCGGCAAGAGTCATTTCATGATGACCAATGCCATTATTCGGGAATTGGTGAAGCGAGGCCATGAAGTCACCTTCATCACACCCTTCTCCTTGGCCAAGGAGAAGCTGGGACCCAACTACAAGGAAATTGTGATTCCAAAATACGATTTCTGGCCAGAGAGTAAGAGCGGGGGCTTAGTAACTCACTAATCAGTATCACATTAAACCTTATCTATCAGCTCAGGAACTAACAAAGACCAACACTGTTCTGGAAATGAGTGATTTGCCCAATTTGACCTTCGTCCGTTTGGTCTATATAATGGGTCTTCGCAGCACAGACTTCGCTTTCGAGCAGCCGGGCGTTAAGGAATTAATCAATGCCAAGGATAAGGTGGGGAAGTACGATCTCCTGCTGGTACCACAGTTCTACAACGAGGGAGCTCTCATCCTGGGACACCTCTATCAGATTCCCGTCATAACCACTTCGTCCTACGGGTTTGCCAACTTTTTTAGCCAGATGGTGGGCATAGTGTCTCCTTGGTCGTTTGTCCCAAACGCCTTCATGCCCTACACCGATCGGATGACTCTCTGGGAGCGCATCGGGAACGTGGTCAACAGTGGCATTGAAGATCTTATGAGGGAGTTCTCCTACTATCCCAACCAGGACGCCATCCTTCAGAAGCACTTCTCCAAGCTGTTGGACAGAGTTCCCTCTGTCAAGGAACTGGAGAGGAATATCTCTGCGATTCTGTTGAATAACTACATGCCCCTGGCCTCTCCCAGACCCGTTTCCTTCAACATGATTCAAGTGGGCGGCCTGCACATTCAACAGCCAAAGGCTCTGCCCGAGGATCTTCAGAAGTTCCTCGATGGAGCCACCCATGGAGCCATATACTTTAGTCTGGGTGAGTTTCGGTATTTTATATTTTTAATTGTGTAAATAAAATATAACCAATATTTTCAGGTTATCAAGTGCGAAGTGCCGATATGCCGCCCGAGAAACTAAAGGTATTCCTGAACGTCTTTGGCAGTCTGAAGCAGCGGGTTCTGTGGAAGTTCGAGGATGAGACACTGCCCAATCTCCCAGCGAATGTGAAGGTTCAGAGTTGGATGCCCCAGGCAGACATCCTGGCACACCCCAATGTTAAAGTATTCATCGCCCACGGAGGACTCTTTGGTACCCAGGAAGCGGTGCACAATGGAGTTCCCATCCTGGGAATGCCAATATACTGTGATCAGCACCTAAACATTCATCAAGGCAAGAAGACAGGCTATGCCTTGGGTCTGGATTACAGAAAGGTGACGGAGGAAGAGCTCAGGGAATCCCTGCTGGAGCTGATCGAGAACCCCAAGTACAGGAACAACATGAGGCAGGCATCCAGGGTGTTCCGAGATCGACCTCTCAGCGCTATGGATACGGCAATGTATTGGATAAACTATGTGATCGAGCACCGGGGGGCACCTCACATGGTCTCCGCTGGAGTCCACCTGCCTTGGTATCAGTTCTACCTCCTGGATATTATTGGTCTGACTCTAGTCCTCATCCTCTTGCCGATCATTGCTTTAGCAATCATCTGCCGGAGGAGCTCCAAATCGATAAATACTCACAAGTTGAAGGCTAAGACAAACTAAAACATAGCCTTGCAATTTACCTTGAGAATTAAATCGATAATTTATATGCTAATTTTTGGGAAAATCAAAGTTTTCCAAATATCATAACTATGCCAAAAATGCATTAATTTCAATTTGGATAACTTTGCTGTGCTAGTTTTTATACGGTTTTCAAATCTGCATATTGAGTTTAAAATCGAAAAAAATTCAATTTTCCTGTTATTGTTATACTAAAGAGTTTATAATAAAGAGCCCCCCTTAACTAAATCTTAGAAATGTGTTTTTGTATGTTACAGGGTACTGATAATACCTTATCAGGTTCGTGTTCGTAATAGATAACGTAATGATGTATAATGTAAATCATGCTGAGTTGAAATAAACTTGTTTCAGTTTATTTTTTAATATTTTCAAGTCACTTGATTAGATAACAGAATTGTGCATAGTAAGGCTGCTGAATAAGTTTATTTTTTATTGTAATTAAAAATGAAAATATGTGCTTATCAATAAAAAAAATTGAGAAATATTCTACGAAAGGTTACCAAATAGATTTCACCACTGAATGAAATAAGATTACTATTACTGTAAGTCTGAAGAATTATGAAATAAAATTATTGAACTGAAGGTCACACATTTGGAGGATCTCTGTTAAAGATACACCTTATATATATTACATTATACCTATTATAATGATATTTACATTATTTGTAAGAATGATGTTGCGGCTCTTAAAAACTACTATTACTTCGGCAGAACGTCTCCGCCTGATAATCGGCTCTCTCGGTTGCTGAAACAAACGCCTCGTAAACTGCCACTTTCGCCCATGTCGTGTGTTGTCTAGTATATAACGATCGAGCTACCTAGGAACCCAATCTAAACTATTAATTATCAACGGTTTGCAGTCGTCGGAGAGTCGTCGTTCGCGTCGGTTGACGGTTCTTTGCCTCCCAGAACAGAAAAAAACTGATTCAAAATGGTTTGTTGACACTAAAGTAAATTAATTAATTAAAGACCTTCAAGCTTTCAAAGTTTTTTGTTATTGGGGAAAGCTAAAAGGTCAAAGTCAAGGGTTAATAAAATAGGCCAAAAGCTTAAATTTTAAATTTCAATAAACAAATACGCGAGAAGGTTAAATGGATATTTAATATACTGTTGATCAGTCTGTGATTATAGTTAGACAGAGATTAGGCTTTTTCTAAGGTTACTGGTGAACACAACAAAAACTCATTAACTTTTTTACTCATCAGCAATTGAAGAGTACACTGCATATCTTGCTCCTGACTCTGATGGCTCTTCAGCAGCTGGACTTGGGCTCTAGTTCTCGGATCCTGGCAGCCTTCTTCTTTCCCGGCAAGAGTCATTTCATGATGACCAATGCGATCATTCGGGAATTGGTGAAGCGAGGCCATGAAGTCACCTTCATCACACCCTTCTCCTTGGCCAAGGAGAAGCTGGGACCCAACTATAAGGAAATTGTGATTCCACAATACAATTTCTGGCCAGAGAGTAAGAGCGATTATTTCTACAATATATACATAAATATGATACCATTATCCCCTAGTCAAGGAGATGACCCAGAAGAGCACTGTTCTGGAGATGACCGATGTGGATAATCTGACCTTCCTGCGCGTAGTTCAAGTTATGGGTATCCACAGCACGGACTTTGCCTTCGAGCAGCCAGAGATTCAGGCATTGGTCAATGCCAAGGATAAGGTCGGGAAGTACGATCTCCTCCTGGCGGAGCAGTTTTTTAACGAAGGAGCCCTAATTCTTGGACATCTCTACCAGATTCCCATGATCACCGTCTCGACCTTTGGCTTTGCCAATTACCTCAGTCAGTTGTTTGGAGTGGTTTCTCCCTGGTCATATGTTCCTCATGCCTATATGACATATACTGACAAGATGTCCCTGTGGGAACGTATCGGAAATGTGGCCATTTGTGGTGCCGAGGATCTCATAAGGGAGTTCTCCTATTACCCGAATCAGGATGCCATTCTCCGGAAGCACTTTTCCAATAAGCTCGATAGAGTTCCCTCTGTCAAGGAGCTGGAGAGAAATATCTCCGCCGTTCTGCTGAACAGCTACATGCCCCTGGCCTCAGCTAGACCCACATCCTACAACATGATTCAGGTCGGTGGACTGCACATCCAGTCGGCCAAGGCGTTGCCGGAGGATCTGAAGCAGTTCCTGGATGGAGCCACCCATGGAGCCATTTACTTTAGTCTGGGTAAATTAAATTCATATCTCCCAGAGCTTCTTGGTTTTAACAATAAACTCACTTCTCCACCTTAGGCTCCCAAGTGCGAAGTGCCGATCTCCCGCCCGAGAAACTTAAGGTATTCCTGAACGTCTTTGGCAGTCTGAAGCAGCGGGTTCTGTGGAAGTTCGAGGATGAGACACTGCCCAATCTCCCAGCCAATGTGAAGGTTCAGAGTTGGATGCCCCAGGCAGATATCCTGGCACATCCCAATGTTAAAGTATTCATCGCCCACGGAGGACTCTTTGGTACCCAGGAAGCGGTGCACAACGGAGTTCCCATCCTGGGCATGCCCGTCTACTGTGATCAGCACCTGAACATAAATCAGGCCAAAAAGGCAGGCTATGCCTTGGATCTGGATTACAGGACGGTGACGGAGGAAGAGCTCAGGGAATCCCTGCTGGAGCTGATCGAGAACCCCAAGTACAGGAACAACATGAGGCAGGCGTCTAAAGTGTTCCGAGATCGACCTCTCAGCGCTATGGATACGGCAATGTATTGGATAAACTATGTGATCGAGCACCGGGGGGCACCTCACATGGTCTCCGCTGGAGTCCACCTGCCTTGGTATCAGTTCTACCTCTTGGATATTGTTGGCATGGCTCTAGTCCTCATCCTCCTGCCGATCATTGCTTTAGCAATCATCTGCCGGAAGAGCTCCAAATCGATGAATAATCACAAGCTGAAGTCGAAGACAAATTAAAACAAGAATGGAAGCTAACTTCGAGAAGCCGAATGTGTATGGCCTTGCAGTAGTTATTAATGATCCTTCATAAGTTTAAAGAATGCGAAATTGACCAAAACTAATCCATTAAAATGCATTAATCTCAATTTGAAAAGTTTTCTGTGCTGAATTTTATTGGGATACTAGCATTTCGGGCTTTGCTATTTAATGAATCACAAATTTTGGGATTTTTTGATAATTTTAAATGATGTTTTCACCATTAAAAAAATTCTTTATGTATTATTTATTTATTATCTTGAATGCAAATTGAAGTATATGTGACTTTTGGCAAGGCTTTTCGGATTTCGTAAATAAAATAAAATATTTTTATTCTATGCATACATATATTAAATCGATATTTTTATGTGCTAATTTTTGGGTAAATCAAAGTTTTCCAAATATCATGATCAATTTTTGATCAAATTTTAACAATATAATCCTTTATAAAACTCTTAAATTTTGAAAATTTGTAAAAAATTCGACTCTTATCAAGAATATATATGATATATAGGGTCGGAAATGATTCATTCACTGTTCTTAAAGCTTCTGACTGAGATAATTATACAATAAAAATGTATAATAGAAGAGGGTATGTATTATTGTTTGAAGTAAAGAGTTTCTTTTAACGTTTTCTTTAATATGTGTTTTTTATTTATTTTATGTAGCACTGATTATACCTTATCAGATTCGAAATAGATAATGTAATCATGTATAATGTAAATCATGCTGAGTTGAAATAAACCTGTTTCAATGTTTTTTAATATTTTCAAGGCACTTGTAAGGTAAATGCTTTATGATATTCAATTTAAAATAAGTGCTTATCAGTGGAACTATTTAGAAACATTCCATAGCAAATAATAAAAACAAAATTTCCAGTAGATTTCACCACAGAATGAAATAAGAGAATTGATGAAATGAAATTATAAAACTAAGGGTCAAGTATATTAAACAAGTGGATAATCTCTGTTAAAGACGCACTTGAATTACATGTATTATTATAGTGATAGTACTTAGAATATTTAGGAGAATAATGTTGCGGCTCTTGAAAACTACTTTTACTCCGCCAGATACTCGACTCTCTGTTGTCGTGTGTTCTCTAGTATTTAACGATCGAGCTACCTAGGAACCCAATCTAAACCATTTATTATCAACGGTTTGCAGTCGTCGGAGAGTCGTCGTTCGCGTCGGTTGTCGGTTCTTTCCCTCCCAGAACAGACAAGACGGATTCAAAATGGTTTGTTGACACTAAAGTAAATTAATATATTAAAGATCTTCAGGCTTTCAGAGCTTGGAGAAGCATAAAGGTAAAAATCAAAGGTTAATGGTCGAGTTCATTAACCTTTGATTTTAAGCTTGAAGATAAGTGAAAAGGTGAAGTGGATAATTAATCTACTGTTAATCAGAATGTATTAATCGTTAGACAGAGGTCTACCATAAGGATCTGTAAGATAAGATAAGATTGCCAGAACGCCCTAGATCAATAAATCAGATAGGTTTTAGTTATGTATTGCATTTTTACTCAACAGAAATTTTGGAGTACACTACACATCTTGCTTATGAGTCTGGTGGCTCTTCAGCAGCTGGACTTGGGTGCTGGCTCCCGCATCCTGGCAGCCTTTTTCTTACCCGGCAAGAGTCATTTCATGATGACCAATGCCATTATTAGGGAACTGGTGAAGCGAGGCCATGAAGTCACCTTCATCACACCCTTCTCTTTGGCCAAGGAAAAGTTGGGTCCCAACTACAAGGAAATTGTGATTCCACAATACGATTTGTGGACAGAGAGTAAGAGTATTACTACAATATATTTAAATGTATATGTATATGATACCATTATCCCCTAGTCAAGGAGATGACCCAGAAGAGCACCGTTTTGGAGATGACCGATTTGGACAGCCTGACTTTCCTACGCATACTCCAAATAATGGGTCTTCGTAGCACGGACTTTGCCTTCGAGCAGCCAGAGATTCAGGCATTGATCAATGCCAAGGATACGGTCGGGAAGTACGATCTTCTAATTGCAGAGCAATTCTTCAACGAGGGAGCCCTCATCCTTGGACATCTCTACCAGATACCAATGATCACCGTCTCGACCTTTGGCTTTTCCAACCACCTCAGCCAGTTGTTTGGAGTGGTTTCTCCCTGGTCGTATGTTCCTCATGCCTACATGGCTTACACAGACAAAATGTCCCTTTGGGAGCGCATCGGAAATGTGGCCATTTGTGGTGCCGAGGATCTCATAAGGGAGTTCTCCTATTACCCGAATCAGGATGCCATTCTCCGGAGGCACTTTTCCAATAAGCTCGATAGAGTTCCCTCTGTCAAGGAGCTGGAGAGAAATATCTCCGCCGTTCTGCTGAACAGCTACATGCCCCTGGCCTCGGCTAGACCCACATCCTACAACATGATTCAGGTCGGTGGACTGCACATCCAGTCGGCCAAGGCGTTGCCGGAGGATCTGAAGCAGTTCCTGGATGGAGCCACCCATGGAGCCATATACTTCAGTCTGGGTAAATTCCATTCATATCTCCCAGATCTTCTTGGTTTTAACAATAAACTCACTTCTCCACCTTAGGCTCCCAAGTGCGAAGTGCCGATCTCCCGCCCGAGAAACTTAAGGTATTCCTGAACGTCTTTGGCAGTCTGAAGCAGCGGGTTCTGTGGAAGTTCGAGGATGAGACACTGCCCAATCTCCCAGCGAATGTGAAGGTTCAGAGTTGGTTGCCCCAGGCAGACATCCTGGCACACCCCAATGTTAAAGTATTCATCGCCCACGGAGGACTCTTCGGCACTCAGGAAGCGGTGCACAATGGAGTTCCCATCCTGGGCATGCCCGTCTACTGTGATCAGCACCTGAACATAAATCAGGCCAAAAAGGCAGGCTATGCCTTGGATCTGGATTACAGAAAGGTGACGGAGGAAGAGCTCAGGGAATCCCTGCTGGAGCTGATCGAGAACCCCAAGTACAGGAACAACATGAGGCAGGCGTCTAAAGTGTTCCGAGATCGACCTCTCAGCGCTATGGATACGGCAATGTATTGGATAAACTATGTGATTGAACACCGGGGGCACCTCACATGGTCTCCGCTGGAGTCCACCTGCCTTGGTATCAGTTCTACCTCCTGGATATTGTTTTCTTGGGTTTGGCTCTGATCCTACTGCCCCTTTTGTTGTTGCTCTCGCTATGCCGCAAAAGCTCAAGGCCTTCAGGAAAGCCCAAAAAGAAAACTAAGAAAAATTAGAAGCTCAAATTGTGTTTGATTTTTGTTAAGTGAAATACTTTTAATTGAAATAAATTTTGAATATTTTTTATATATTAGAAGTCGAAGCAAACAAAAGTCTATTTTTCAGCGAAACAACAGAAACCAAAGAGAAGACCAGCCTACAGCGTCTTTCATTCACATCTAAATCGATATATAAATAAATCCAGTAGAGCAGACAACTAAGTTCACACGTGCACATTAATGTTAATGAAATTCGAATAATTGTTATCAAAAAAACAAAAAAACCGGATTGCCTAGTTTCTGCTTTATTTTACTTAAGGTTCACACCGATTAACGATTCAAAGTATTTGGATACTCGTCACATATATATTTATATATATATATATATATATGGAAATATAGAATTCAAAGCAAAAACTATTCATAGTCACCCGTTTGTAGTCTTCAGATGTTCGTCGTTCCTTTTGGTTGAGTCTGCTCTTCTACAGAAATAATTAAAAATCAAAATGGTAAGCTAAGAAGGAAATAATTAAATAAATTCAAGATTTAGCACACTTTTTAATCACGAAATTAATTTCAGTTCGAAGCTAAATATTTCATAAACAAGCAAATAAATATAGTCTCGATAAATCAAGCGAATTTAATGTATTTGCGACGTGGAAAGCCTACGTATAGAAATGGTGTTAAGAATAGTAAAACATGTATAAATTATTATTATCGCATGAAAATAGTTCTCAGAAAGTTAAACAATATACTGAAGAAAGTCTATTTAACTTGAGTGTCCCTTCTCATGCATAAATCCTACCTGATTTTAACAGCAATTACAGAGTGCACATCTGCGTATCCTGCTCCTCAGTCTGGTGACTCTTCTCCAACTGGACTCTGGTTCTGGCTCCCGCATCCTGGCCACCTTTTTCTTTCCCGCCAAAAGCCACTCCATGATGACTAATGCGATCATTCGGAAACTGGTAAAACGTGGTCATGAAGTCACCTTCATCACTTCGGTATCTATGGCCAAGGAAAATCTTGGACCAAATTACACGGAAATTTTAATCCCTCCGTACGAAATCTGGCCAGAGAGTAAGTGTGAATGTTACCTACTTTGTATATAAACGAAAAACCTCAGCAAAAATAAATTTACTAGTTCAAGCGCTAACGAAGAAGAACAGCGTGCTGGAGATGACCGATGTGGAAAACCTGACCCTCCTGCGAATGATTAATTTATTGGGAGTCGCCACCACAGACTTTGCCTTCGAGCAGCCAGAGGTTCAGGCAGTGATCAATGCTACGGACAAGGTCGGGAAGTACGATCTCCTCCTGGCGGAGCAGTTCTTCAACGAGGGAGCCCTCATCCTTGGACACCTCTACCAGATACCCATCATCACCATCTCGACCTTTGGCTTTGCCAATTACCTCAGTCAGTTGTTTGGAGTGGTCTCTCCCTGGTCATATGTTCCACACGTCTATTTGCCATATTCTGACAAGATGACGCTGTGGGAACGAATACATAATGTGGCATTCAGTGGCGTCGAAGACCTTCTCAGAGAGTTCACCTATTACCCCCTCCAAGATGCCATTCTGCAGAAGCACTTCTCCAAGAGGCTAGAAAGAGTTCCCACCGTCAAGGAGCTGGAGAGGAATATTTCGGCCATCCTGCTGAACAGTCACATGCCACTGTTCTCGGCCAGACCCGTTTCCTATAATATGATACAATGTGCTGGTCTGCACATTCAGCCGCCAAAGGCTCTGCCCGAGGATATCCAACAGTTCCTGGATGGAGCTTCCCATGGGGCTATTTACTTCAGTCTGGGTGAGTTTAATTGCTATTCCACTTCGTACTCCCATTTCTAAAATACTTCCAACTTTAATTATCAGGCTCTCAGGTGCGCAGTGCCGAAATGTCGCCTGAAAAGCTAAAGATATTCCTGGATGTCTTCGGAAGCCTCAAGCAACGTGTCCTGTGGAAGTTTGAGAACGAGTCAGTGCCCAATCTTCCGGCAAATGTTATGATGAAGAGTTGGCTGCCTCAGGCCGACATCCTGGCACACCCCAATGTAAAAGTGTTCTTTGGCCATGGAGGTACCAATGGCGTCATAGAGGCGATGCACTATGGAGTTCCGATGCTCGGCATGGCCATTTATAGTGATCAGTACCATCACGTCAATCAGGGCAAGAAGGCGGGCTATTTATTGGATCTGGATTACAGGACGGTGACGGAGGAAGAGCTCAGGGAGTCCCTTCTGGAGCTGATCGAGAACCCCAAGTACAGGAACAATATGAAGCAGGCATCCAAGGTGTTCCGCGATCGACCCCTCAGTGCCATGGATACGGCAATGTACTGGATAAACTATGTGATTGAACACCGGGGGGCACCTCACATGGTCTCCGCTGGAGTCCACCTGCCTTGGTATCAGTTCTACCTCCTGGATATTGTTGGTCTGGCTCTAGTCCTCATCCTCCTGCCGATCATTGCTTTAACTATCCTCTGCCGGAGGAGCTCCAAATCGATAAATACTCACAAGTGTAAGGCTAAGACAAATTAAAACAATAAAGAAAACAAACTTCGAGAAGCCGAATGTGTAAAGCCTTGCAATTAACCTTTAAAATTAAATCGATATTTTTATATGCAAATTTTTGGGGTAAATCAAAGCTTTCCAAATATCATAACTAACCCTAAATGCATTAATTTCAATTCGGATAACTTCCCTGTGCTAGTTTCTTAAAGCTTAAGAAATCTGCCAATTCCACTGACTGAAATTATAATACTATAAAAGGGAATAATAAGAGAGTGTATGCATATAATATTGTTAAAACTAAAGACACTCTCTTAACGTTAATCTCTAAAATAAAAATATGTTCTTATCAATGAAGGTACTCAGAACGATTTTAATGAAGGCTACCAAATACTACAATTGAATATTTCACTCCGGCTGATACTCTCATCTCTCGGTTTCTATAACAAATCAATTTCGGCAATATCACGTGTTTTTAGTATATATATATAGTGTTATATTGTACATAATTAGTATATTTATAGGAACGCCATCTAAACTATTTATTATCAATGGTTTTCAATGGTCCGAGTGTCGTCGTTCTCGTCGGTTGTCGATTCTTTGCCTCCCAGAACAGAAAAGACGTATTTAAAATGGTTTGTTGTTGACACTAAAATAAGACTGCCAGAACGTCCCAGATCAATAAATCAGATAGGTTACAAGTGATCACAACTTTTAGTTATGTATTTCATTTTACTCAACAGCATTTTAGGAGTTCACTTCACATCTTGCTTATGAGTCTGGTGGGTCTTCAGCACCTGGACACTGGTGCTGGCTTCCGCATCCTGGCCACCTTTTTCTTTCCCGCGAAAAGCCACTCCATGATGACCAACGCGATCATTCGGGAACTGGTGAAACGTGGTCATGAAGTCACCATGATAACTTCCGTATCTATGGCCGAGGAAAACCTGGGACCAAATTACAGGGAAATTCCAATTCCGCCGTACGAAATCTTGCCAAAGGGTAAGTTAGAATGTTACCTACTTTATATATAAATGCAAAACATCAGCAACAAAAGTTTACTAGTTCAAGCGCTAACCAAGAAAAAGAACACGATGGAGATGACCGATGTGGACAACCTGGCCTTCCTGAGAATGATTAATTTATTGGGAGTCGCCACCACAGACTTTGCCTTCGAGCAGCCAGAGGTTCAGGCAGTGATCAATGCCACAGATAAGGTCGGGAAGTACGATCTCCTCCTGGCGGAGCAGTTCTTCAACGAGGGAGCCCTCATCCTTGGACACCTCTACCAGATACCCATCATCACCATCTCGACCTTTGGCTTTGCCAATTACCTCAGTCAGTTGTTTGGAGTGGTCTCTCCCTGGTCATATGTTCCACACGTCTATTTGCCATATTCTGACAAGATGACGCTGTGGGAACGAATACATAATGTGGCATTCAGTGGCGTCGAAGACCTTCTCAGAGAGTTCACCTATTACCCCCTCCAAGATGCCATTCTGCAGAAGCACTTCTCCAAGAGGCTAGAAAGAGTTCCCACCGTCAAGGAGCTGGAGAGGAATATTTCGGCCATCCTGCTGAACAGTCACATGCCACTGTTCTCGGCCAGACCCGTTTCCTATAATATGATACAATGTGCTGGTCTGCACATTCAGCCGCCAAAGGCTCTGCCCGAGGATATCCAACAGTTCCTGGATGGAGCTTCCCATGGGGCTATTTACTTCAGTCTGGGTGAGTTTAATTGCTATTCCACTTCGTACTCCCATTTCTAAAATACTTCCAACTTTAATTATCAGGCTCTCAGGTGCGCAGTGCCGAAATGTCGCCTGAAAAGCGAAAGATATTCCTGGATGTCTTCGGAAGCCTCAAGCAACGTGTCCTGTGGAAGTTTGAGAACGAGTCAGTGCCCAATCTTCCGGCAAATGTTATGATGAAGAGTTGGCTGCCTCAGGCCGACATCCTGGCACACCCCAATGTAAAAGTGTTCTTTGGCCATGGAGGTACCAATGGCGTCATAGAGGCGATGCACTATGGAGTTCCGATGCTCGGCATGGCCATTTATAGTGATCAGTACCATCACGTCAATCAGGGCAAGAAGGCGGGCTATTTATTGGATCTGGATTACCGGAAGGTGACGGAGGAAGAGCTCAGGGAATCCCTGCTGGAGCTGATCGAGAACCCCAAGTACAGGAACAATATGAAGCAGGCGTCTAAAGTGTTCCGCGATCGACCCCTCAGCGCCATGGATACGGCAATGTACTGGATAAACTATGTGATTGAACACCAGGGGGCTCCACACATGGTCTCCGCTGGAGTCCACTTGCCTTGGTATCAGTTCTACCTCCTGGATATTGTCGCACTGGGCTTGGGCTGCATCCTACTGCCCATTCTGCTGCTGCTCCTTATTTGCCGCAGACGCAGGGCCCAGAAGAAGACCAAGCAGGAATAGAACCGAAACTTGTGTTTTATTAATTTAGTTAACAAAAGTGGAGATACATTAATGTTAGAGTTGTTTGCAATTTTAATTTGGATAATTTCGTAATACGTTTCTAGGGCACCAGATAGCTGGCAAAGTAATTGAGAACAAGGCTAGCGAGTAGCGTGCAAAGACCGCTCGCAACTAACTGAACAGGATGCTGAAATGGTCAGGAGAATTAGCTTGGGATCTTCGCTGGGCCCTTCTCTGCCTCGGATCATCATTCAGAAGCTGGTTGGTGTGTGAGTTTGTGCCTTGTGTGTTGTGTGTGAGTGGCATGAGTGTGTCGTGTGCTTGAGTGTTTTTGTTGTGTGCAGGTGTGCGGCGATCTCTACTGGCTTATGACCATGGACTTCTTTACCTTCTTCTCCTTCCTCTCATGGGTGATGGTCACTTCCTCTGCGAGTAAAAATGAGAAGGATTCAAAATTAAATAACCTTCAAGAACCCCTTGGAACTCAAGATGATGCTCACCCTCGAACTTGGTGGGCAGCTGCTTGATCGTCTCGATGGTCTTGACGTTCTTCTCTCCCGGCTCAATGATCTCCTCCTCGTACTCCTCGATGATCTCCTCCTCGTCGGTGTCATCGGGATTGGCCTTGCTGCTGGGCACGGGATCGTACACGGTCTTCACGGCCTTCTTCACGATGCCCTCGGCGGTCACCGTGGTGTAGTGGTACTCGGTGCCGCCCTCAATCTTGATGGTCTCCACGGTGGTCACGTCACCGGGATTTTCGGAGGGCACAATCTTTTTGGTGCCGGACTCGGACTTCAGCTTCTTGGTGGTGGTCACGTTCTTGTGCTTCTCGGCATCCTTCAGGGTCTTCTTGTAGGCACGGATCTCCTCCTCGGTGAGCTCAACCTCCTCCTCCTCGTAGACGGTCTTCGAGGTGGTAATGGTCTTGCCCGACTCCAGTTCCGTGGAGTAGGTGTACTCAACGCCGCCGGGAACCCGCTTGGAGGCCACCGTGGTGGTGTCGTTCTGGAAGAAATCAGCGGGCGGCGGAGGAGCCGAGGACTTGGGCTTCTTCTTGGACTTCTTGCTGCTATCGGTGGAAGAGGTATTGGTGATGGCCTTCACATTGGCCTCCTGCAACGAGTTCTTGCGCACGGTGCGATTGTTCTCGGTGATCTCGATGTTCTGGGTCTGCGTGACCGACACCCGGCGCTCCGAGGTGGTCGTGGAGTTGGACTGCTGGTCCACCACGTTGCGCTGCTGCTTCTGGACGATGCGGCGCGAGGACTCGGTGGAATCGGTGGAGTCCACCGATGACTTGCGCGTCACAGTCTTCTTGTTCTTGTTCAGCTTGGCAGCGGTGTTCTCGTCCACCTCCGTGGGCACCGAGTCGTAGAAGGTCTTGGTGCGCATGCTGCGGGTGCCATCCTCATTGATGGTGGTGTACACCTCCTCGTAGCCACCCTCGATGGCGCGGGTCAGCATGGTGGTGCGCTCATCGATGCGAATCTCCTTGCCGAGACGCTTCTGGACGAGCTTCTTGTTCTGCTGCTCCTTCTTCAGATCCTCCTCGCTGACCGGTTTGGGGTCCCAGAAGGTCCTCACCTGGGTCTTCACCGTGCCATTGGGCTGAGGGGTGGTGGTGATCACCTCGTAGCCGCCCTCGATAAGCTTGTACTGGGTGCTGGCTCCCGTTGCCTTGTCGAACTCCACCTTACCGTCCTCGATGTCTGCGGAGGTCAGTAGCTCTGCGATGTGTGGATGTGTGTATAGTATATATATATATATATATGGTATTATGTCAAGCTGATCCCAAGCTCTTGAGCGTGTGTGTGTGTGTGCATCTGGGGTTGTTATTGTCTACCAAAAAGCACTTGTCTAGTATTAGCATTCTCCTTATCCTAAGCTAAGTCTACGATATTGCATGGGTTTCCATCTTAAGGCAGCCTGGCGATGGGGTTAGTTAAGCGACTCTTAGACGGTCATAAAGGAATTGATCTTTAATAAGCGAGCCAATTTTGTTGTCTAACTAAAGCTACTTGTAAAACTTTAAATTTTGTATCTAATTTAAGGCTTTCAATGTTTAATAATTGTATATAAAAAAAGTCAGGCTAAAGACCTGAGTCGTCTAAAAGTCGCTCGATAAGCTTAATTTTATACAGCATTCTTCGTTCGTTGCATACGCTTTTTGTTCTCTCGCTGACTCCTCGTTTAGGTATATCAATCTCCGGGTCTTGTTACACGTGGACAGGTTGGGGCTCCGTCTCCTGTTTGGGTTCCAGCTGTCGGTATTGGTATTTGGGGCGCCATTTGGAGCGACACGCCAGGTGCGGCAGGCAGCTGTAGTGCATCAGCAGGTTCAGTAATTGCTATTTGAGCTTACGGGCGGACCGCTGTTTGCCATTCTTGGAGACGCTGGCATTTCCGTTTCCGCTTCCGCTTCCAGCTGGCAGCGTGATGTGCTGCGGTTGCGGTTGTGGCCTCTCCTGTCGCATCTGTGGAGGTGCCTGTTTGGAGGTGGTAGCAGAGGCAGCTGGGGCAGCTGGGGCAGCTGGGGCAGCTGGGGCAGCTGGGGCAGCTGGGGCAGCTGGGGCAGCAGGGGATGCTGAAGCATTGGAAGATGCGGAAGCGTTAGCCGGCAGCTTGTTAGTTGCGGCTTTGGTGCGGGGCACGGGCACAGGACGCTCTGCCTTGCCATTCTCACTCTGCCTGCTCTGCGGCTTATCCTTCGCAGGAGCCAGGACTGCCTTCTTGGACTGCAGCAGCTGGGCGGCGGCTTCGCTTAGCAATTGATTATAGCTTAGTGGGTTAGCAGGGTCACTATCGTTATCATTATCTGCAAAATGTGGTTTGGGGGTAACGAGACATTGGACAGTGGTTTTAATTCATCGCCTTGGACTGGTGACTGAGGAGAAAGATGCCTGAGAGAGATGCTGGGGATGAGATGGTGGTGCACTGATGATGATGATGCTTCCCAGGGTGAGCTTTGATTTCGATTTCAAAGATGGCTTAAAAGTAAACAACTGAAAAGGCGAACAACAACAGAACTTAATCGAACTTAGGACTAAAATAAAAATGCACATTTTTTAAAAACATAGTTTCGTAAATAGAAGATTTGTTTGTGTTTGTGTGGGTTTTTTTTTGTTCTTCTGTTCCTTGTTCTCGAATAAATATTACGACAAATATTTTTGCAAAAAATTGATAAACTATAACATAAATGGTTTATACGTATAAAGTTATAGAAAAAACAGGCAAGCAAACAAACAGCTTTGCTCTCATCTCGAATTCGATTCGAAGAAGGGGGAAACACACACACACTCCTGGCATACACACACTCGTAACGACAACACTTTAGTTTTTATTACAATTACTTTTTTATTATTTTTGAAATGGTTCTTCACTTCGTTTCTCTTTGCTAGAGTTATTTTATACACACTCTTTGTTTGGTTTTTTTTTTTGTTGTTTTATTCAGAAGGAAGGAAACATATGTACACTTGGTATCAGGGGGAAGGTCAAGGGGGCTGCATATGCTACAATGATTTCCGATTTACGATGCAGATGAGCTAAAAAGTCATTGCCATAAATCGGTAAACACACACACGACCGAGACAGAGGGAGAGAGAGGGCAAAAGTACAAAAATTTTCAATTAAAATACAATGAAGTGTAAAAGTTTGTGGCCGAAGCCAAGTGTGTGTGTGTAGAGGGGGGTTTGGCATCCATGGACGTGGTTTCACCAGGGGGATGTTTGCTGGCTGGCAACTGTGCCAAGTGTGTCGCACACTCGCACACACCCATCAAGTATGTCGAGAGCAGTGCGAGTGCAAAAAAGTTTAATTTGAAAACTTAATTAAAATTTCTGTGCTTTTTTTTCTTGCCGCTCCCTCTTTTAACAAGATTTCGGTGCCATGTGTGAGTGTGTGAGAGAGGGGGTTGAAGTGGCGGCAAATAAAAAATTGCATTTATGACACTTGGGAGAATTTGGGATCCTTTAATTTCAATTAGAGAAAGTCCTTGACATTGACACCAGAGCCAGATGCCCTCGGCAAGGGATATGTGTGTCTGGTGTGTGTTGTTTAGTGTGTGTGCTTTGTTTTGTTTTGTATTACAAACAAAAGATGTCAACAAAACGACGAATGACGAACGAATTGCATGTGGTTTGTTCTGTTTTGCTTTGTTTTTTAGTTTTCTTTTTGATTCTATGAGCTACCAGTTTGTTGGGTGTCCTGCTCGCTCTTCTTGTCCAGCGTCTGCGAGATCTTCTTCCAGATGTTCTCGAAGGAATCGGCACCGGAGTAGTCAATCTGTCCGGACTCCCAGCACTGGCGGCGCATCTGGTTCTCGTAGGCCTCCTGCTCCGGCGTGCGCTGCTCCCCGATGCGCAGCTGTGACAGGGCTCCGGCCAGGCCCACCTGCAAGCAGGACATCCCAAATAGAGAATGTTCATCATATTAAGTTTGGTAATAAATCAAATGTGTGTGGGGGGGGGTGGGTATTTAACATGCATTACATTTACAAAATTTACAACATTTATTAGCTCTACATGCTTACTACTACGGATACAACAAATACAGAGATGTTAGTTGCGGTGCACGGTGCGTATGATTAATATGACAACGGAGTGCCACTCGAGGCATAAATCACGTATACGCAGCGTTGCTGCTACAATGCGCACTCTTACGTTGCCTGCGTTGGCAACTCGTGTTCCAGCGACCTTCTGGCAGATTACTATGCAACAAGGAGTAAGGAGAAGGCAGATGGATGGAGCTTCATGCAACACACACACGCAAGGATGAAGTACCTTTCCCTGCAGCTGAATCTGTTTCTGTATCTGTATCTTTATCTGAATCGGATGATGACGAGGACGTGGACAATGATGATGTTTGGGGGGGATGAGTATGTATATGAATGCTTGACCAGGTGCTTGGGCCAACTAATAATAAATCAACAAACGTGGCCACGTATTCAGGCCAAACACACACACTCTCAATGCTTAACCATGAACCAAGCACAAGAAAGGACCTGGACCAAAAGGATCATGAACAATGAACGATGACCGGCGGCTAAAACAATGACCATGACGATGACGATGACGATGACGACAATCACAATTCGTATGCAAAACAGTGACTAGACGGAAACCAGGGCATTACATTATCACTATCACTTGCACTGGCACACCACTATTTCCGATGCTAGTTTTTTTTTTGACGCTGAAGGAGATTACAGGTTTGGGGTTTTGTTACACAGAAAAAAAACATGAATATCTCTTCAAATAGACTTGGCATTAACAAATGTTAAGTGTTTTTCTATAACTCGAATTATTTTAGATCTTTAAAGTATCTTTAAGTGGTTAGAAAACTAAATGTGTAGTAAACTCTATGTTTCTTAATAATATCTAAAATATTTATTTACGTTTTCAACAGAATAGTTCACTATTAATTAAGATAAATATTAGGAGGTTTCCTGTTTCTATATATTTTTAAAAATTTTAACATTCTTTAAGTAACTTTAATCCTTAAGAAGTCTTTTGAACAGAATCATTAATCAGGAAACTAATATTTCCTATAAATTCAAACTAAATCCCTTGCATTTATAAAAGTAAAACCAAAAACTTTTTAATATCTAATAAGTTAATGCCAAGTTCTTTGATATATATCACACATTTTTTCTATGTAGCTTTTTGCTGGCCAGGATTGATTGATTGCCTTTACCTCAGGCGATGTTTCGGCTGCAACTTCATGATCTGGTTGGTGGTTTGTCGCACTTTCTACTGTCTGACTATGCACAGAATGATGTGACGTGGGCGTGGGCGTGGGCGTGGCAGTTGCAGTGGCAGTGGAGACTGAGTCTGGGGAGGCATGTTCTGGCAGATGGGCAATGTGCAGCTCATTGCTATTCACATCTGTGGATGCCGAGTCTTCGGCATTGGCAGTGGCAGTGGCAGTGGCTTGGTAGGACTGAGGTGGAGGAGGTGTAGGACTGGTGGGTGGCAGTGGCTGTGCTGAGTGGCATGCATCGTCATGATGCCACTCAGTGGCATATTCATTAGCAGTAGTAGCATTCCCATTGTCCTGGCTGTGATTGTGCTGTTGCTCCCGTTCCCGCTCTCGTTCCCGCTCCCGCTCCCGCTCCTGTTGCTGCTGACGCTCCAGCTCCAGCTCTTCCTCCCGCTGCTCCTTCTCCAGATTCTCATAGTAATCTGCCCAAGGATCGCGGAACTGGCGCACATGCAACAGCTGGTGGTGCAACCGCTGCTGCTGGTAGTACTCAAGCTCGTGCTGCTGCTGCTGCTCGCGTTGCTCATCCGCCGCGTGTTCGCTTTGCGAGTGCATTAGGTTCAAGCATAGCCACTGACACGATGTTAGATATATTGATAGATATATATTTGGATATATATATATATATATGTGCAGTCACGATAAATGCAATTCGGCATGGCATGGCAATATATTTTTTGGTTTAATATACAGAATGCGCAACATAGGAGAGCAAGAGTTGGAGAATAAGAATGAAAATCAAAAGTAAATCAATTTGAACAAATCAAAAGAAACCAAAAACGACACAAACAAAAAATAAAAAATGGGAGAAAGAGGAAAAGTACACCCAGAAAGAAAGGGAAAATAATCACTAAAGTTTGAATACATTTTTAAAACATTTTAGGCATATAGCTAAATAAAGGTCCAAAATTAAGGCTTTAAGGTCAGTTAAAAACTTATTTTACTTAAAAAGAGCCTTTATATACCTCTTCAGTTTGCAAATTAAGTTATTGATCGAATCAGAAATCAATCATACGTAAACTTAAAATATTCACATTTATTCATTTATTCAATTAAAATGTTGGGGATAGTTTTCTATAACACTTTTTTCCGACAAATCAAAGTTTAAAAAACTCATAACTAAGCCAAAAATGCATTAATTTCAATTCGGAAAACTGTTCTGTGCTAGTTTTAATTAGTTTAATAAATCTGCATACTTAGTTTACAAACTTAGAAAATTCAATTTTTTGTCAATTTTTGAGAATTTTAACGATGTAACCCCTTATAAAATTATGAAAAAATTTTTCAAATTTTTTTTTGGTCTGAGATGGCTAGATCGATTCAGCTGTTGATGCTGATCGAGAATATATATGATTTATAGGGTCGCAGATGACTCCTTCACTTAGTTTCAAGCTTTTGTCTAAAATTTTAATACCCTGGAAGTACAATTTTCACTCAATACACATAATTTTTCTGGGTGTACAAGAGATGCTGGTGTGTGTGTTTATTGTGTGTGTGTGTGTTATGGGATATATATCTAATGATTCAGTTTTAAATTTTCTGGCATCATCCCCCCGTTTTAAGCCCACAAAGTCGTCTATCTCCATTCTATGGGATGGCGTGAACCGAAACATTTCCCTGGCTCTGGGCCAAAAATTGATGCAAATTAGAAAAACAGAAAGAAAGTGAAACACCAACACTGAGACGAAACGAAACGTAACACACACACCACACACACAGCACACACAGCACACACAGAGTTGGACAAATATTACAAAAAATACAAAAGAAAAATAAATTAAAAGAAAGACCCAATTATCTGTCCGTCAGTCGAGTGGCAAAAAAAAAGAGGTTACTCTGGGGCGTGGCTGCTAATCGGGGAAAAATCAACAGAAAATTTCAAAGCAAAAAATAAAAAAGAAAACGAAATAAGAAACTAGGAAAATAATGAAGAATAGACACATTTAGAGTGAAGTGAAACGATAACGAGGTCAGCTATTGGCAAGAAATAGCAAATAGATCGAATTTGTGTTTGCTTCTCGCCCGCCTTATTATTTACTCGATTGGATAGATGGATAAATAAATAAATATTTGCGTTATAATTAAGATATTTACAGGGTGGGCGGGGGGTGCTCAAGGTCTCTACAGATCTGGTGCAAGATGGTGCGTTGGCGATCTGCAAAGATCTGCTTACCTCTGGGGAAGACCCGCGGGCTATCGCCTCCTCGGGATCGCTAGTTACTGTTACTGTTCCTGGCTTTAGCTGGGCGTTTATCGATTAGCATTTAGCATATATAGCAATTTGGGGGGTTAAGAAACGCGAGCAAAAAAAAACAAGGGGTTAAACAACAGAGTTATCGGGTTAAAAAACAGGGGGCAACAATATTCAGTCTCGGGGCTGCTTGTCCAATAGAATTAATAGATCCAGGAGTTTGTATATACTTATAGCTAACACTCACCATATCGGTGGACAGGGACTGGATCACATTATCACAGAAGATGTTCCACCACAGCTGGATCAGATCCTGGGCATGGGCATAGTCCGAGGAAACGCTGGCGGTCTTTGTCTCCGAATTGAACTGAATCAGCCAGGGCTTCAGTTTGCCGGCAAAATGCAAAATCTTTATCTTATCTCTGAACCTGTAAACAATAATTATATGGATTATATATTACTTAGAGATAGGTGGAACAGGTGGATACACTCACTGTTTGAAGGCGGGCAGATAGCAGTAGGAGGCATAGGCCGTAACATTGTAAACGAATGGCAAATGCTTCTTGATGTCCGCCGTCGCCCAGTCGGCAAAGAACTGATTCAACAGGCCCTGGTCACCGCCATCGAAGCTGCCGTTCTTAACGGCAAACTCTGTGATCTGGCCAAAGGTCTCCACGCTGGGCTTGAACACAAATACGCCGGAGTTGAAGCAGTCCGGCCAGCTGACATCCGGGGCAGCCGACAGTTCCTCGCGCTCGAATAGCTCATCGCAGTTTTGCAAGACCTTCAAGCGGATATTCATTTATATTCTGGTATATCCGGATCTGCATCCGAGTGTTACTTACCAGTGTATCCGCATCCAGGAAGACGCACTTCTCGAACTGCACCAGGCGCCAGCAGTGCAGCTTTGTGAAGGTCACGCCCAGCTCGGGGCGGGCGAGGAGCGCCAGATTGGCGGCATCCTGCGAGTCCAGCACATTCACCTCCTGGACCACATTGTACACCTCCTTGAGGCGGTCCCGCATCGCCTGCGAGACAGTGGGCGTGACCAGAACGGCCAGCTGGTGGGCGGTGCCGGCCCGCTTCAGCGAGTGGGCCAGGACCAAGGCACCCAGCGAGTACGTGTCATTTGTCGTCAGCGTCACCCAAGCGAACTCTAAATCACGCAAAGAGAGAAGTGTAAATCATGGGTTAGATTTTCAAACATAGTAATCTGGCAGATACAATTGCAATGGCTACAGCGGCTGTAGATACATTTATTGGTTACAGTGGCATTGCACGTTTCACTGCAACAGCAGCAGCAGCAGCAGCTGGCAAAGAGAATTCGTTTCGTATTTATTAGTTTCGGATTCAGCACAAAAAAAATGTATATGGATTATATTTAAACAAGCACTGGTTCGGATGGCCTCAGCATGGAATAGGATGCGGTACACTCGAAGAAATAAGTATTTTAACTCTGGTAAGAAACTAGCATCAATCGAGATAGTAAATCTTTCATTTCTCATGGTTTATGGTAAATATATATGGCTTCTTCTAGGATTTATCTAATACGATGACTAAAATGTTACTATTTTTTAAGAAACATTTTGATTTATAGGTTTGTAGAGCCTTCGATTTTTCACATTACCTGAAAAACTAACTTAATCTAATACATTGTCTAAATTTACAATAAAAGAAGTAAAAAAAATTAATCAAAGGGTTCCTCAGATGAAATAAAAACCTGTCTATAAGAATGAATCAAAATAATTATGAACCCAAAATTAATAATTTAAAACTATACTAAACATTTGGTAGCATCCTTTGTTCCAGTAACTCAATTGAATTAAGATCCACAACAATATATATATATATATTATAATCCCTATCCAATTAAAAACCATTCTAATACATTTTTGATTACAATAACTAACTAAACTTTGCATATTTATAAGATAGGACTTTGTTTCCCAAAGTATTTGAAATAATTCAAGTACCATTTCGTATTTAAATTTCCCTCAAATAATTGTTCTCTGTGCGACACACATGTTCAAGTGCAGAGCTCCTTCTGCGTCAGCACCCACATGCATTCCAATTTCATTTGCTTTGTTAGAGCGCAAAAAAACCAAATGAGAATATTGCAAAAATAGCAGAAAAAATCATAAAAGATTGGCAAATTCGAGCAGAGCATATTTCAGGCGCGTCCGAACGGGCAATTAGAATTTTGCGTAGTTGGCATTTAGTTTGGGGCGAAAGCTATGTATGCAGATAATTAATTATTCATGGCTTATCCCTATATACACAGTTGTATGGGGCGATTATGAGCTCTCTTTCGGTGCAGATTTCTCAATCGAATTAGTTATGGGAATATACATAGTTTATAAACCGAAATTTGATTTTATACAACTGGAATCTGGTATCTGGAGTCTCTGCTTCCCCTGCTGCTTAGTATTTAAGTGATTAAAATTAATGGATTAATATCCATGCAGTATTGTTGATGTTTGTTGAAAATTAAAAGATCATTAGAGTTAAGATAGAGTCAACATACAATTATTTTATTTGTTTTCCAATTTTGATTATTCACAGGTCAATTGAATTTTGAACAATATTATTATTAATATTATTAATAGTATTAATGCTACGATCTTGAGAGAAACTAGTTGGATATATATACAGGTTCGTGTATATGTGTATATATTCTTTGTACATTTTTGTGTTTTGTTTTTTCGTTGAACTAACTTTAGTTTAGATTAGAGATTAGAGTAGATTAGATTAGAGAGTGTCGGTTTACATGGTGTTTGGGGGTTTTAGAGAAGCGAACTGAAAAGGAACTGTGAAAGCGCAGGATACAACAAGTAGATGGATAACAACAACTACCTTCTCGCTGATGCGGATACAGATACAGGATGTGTGGATGCGGATACGGATATCCTTAAGATATCTGCGACATTCGAATGCATTCGCCATAGCCATAGCTGAGCTTGATCTGAAGCTGATCTTGGCCTGATCTGGTATGATATCTTTATCTCTATCCTCCGCCGGATATGTGCAAGTGTGGTGTGTGTGTTTTTTGTTGTGTGTATTTTGTGTTCTGAGTGCGAGTAAAAGATACATCGCAGATGCTTTCTTTTCTACTCTGTGTGTGTGAAATGAATCGCTGGGCCTAAAATAAAAATGAAATCATTTACTTTCGGCCAAAAAAGAATGGATTTTATTAACTTTCTGACTTACCGGATGTGTGCAAAAAAATGACAACAAAAATAATTCACAGAACAATCAAAAAAACTTAAATGTGGCGGAAAAAACGATAAAGAAACTGAATTTCAGCAGACGTCATAAATAAATTCGGTGATTTAAACAAAATAAAATAAACAACACTCGGTCTGAATATAAAAAAATCTCGCAACTGTTGAAATTGTCAAAACGAATGCGTTGCGACGCGACAGTTTCCTTAAAAATATATATATCAGTAAACTTAGAAATAAGTAAATGAGCAATTTATGTGACAGCTGATTGTGGGAAAATCCCCCCTGCAAAAGTAATACCGGCGTATTTTTCGGACCATTTTTCCTCGCTTCCGACTAAACTTTTAATACCCTTCAAGGACATAAAAAAATTAATTAAACGAAGTACGTAGCATGTTAATTATACTCCTTTTAATCAGTCTAAAAGCAATTGGTATGAAATAAAATATAGGGATGAATAAGGTCTTATTTTATAATTCGCAATAAAAATATATCTCAAAATATGAATGGAAAATATTGTAAAAATACAAAACCTTCTCTTGTAAAAATATAAATTAACAAGACTTACGACAGATATATGCATATGAATCTTCTTTGAATCAAAGAAATATATACTTTAATAACTTAATAATTCTATTTTATTTTATAAATATTTTTTGCAGTACCTTAAGAGAACAAGGAACTGTAAGCTTCTCTCTCAATTAAAGCTTTCTTTCTCTTCTAACCTGTCTCTCTGTTTTTGAAACCTCTCATTTTTTGGAGAGTTTGCGCCTTAGCTTTCGCCCTTCCACGTACGTGCGTAGCACAATAAAGCTGATAAAGGTCCCGACCAAAAGGCAAACGCGTAAAAAAGGTCGGGGGTTAAGCTTTCGGGGTCTGGGTCAAGTGAATGAGTGAATACCCATTGGAGCGAGATGAGGCCCGGATCAGATAATCGGTGCCAGACATAGCTCCCTGAATGGGGTCACCAATTAGATGAATGGACAACAGCCGAGACCTTGAGGGAGATGCCTCGTACCGCGCCCATGTCATCCCAGAAACCCGTTTCTCCCGGTCTTCGATTAAGTGAAGCAGAGCGCCAGAAAATACAGTCAAACCTGGATAAATGGGACTTTTTAATACTGGATAAATAATAATTACCAAAGGTTCTAGTTCCGGTAAAAACTTCTTAGTGGTAAATGAGGGAACTAATGTATCCAAAGGATTTTGGTGACTTTTAAAAGTAAAAATGAGATGTAGAAATATCAAAGTTCCACTGTATATATGGGGAATACATCATGCATTATGCATATACGGGGAGGAAATCGGTGGAATCGCTTCGTGGCGACACCAACGCACAAATTGGCGAGTGCAAGGCGAGCGGAACAAGTTCTGCGGGAAATCTCTTTCCCTACCGCCTGCTGTGTGTATCTTGTGGATTCTTGACTCGAGACTCGAGACTCTCGACTCTTGTATCCGAAAGAGCAGTCCCCTAAAAATAGCACCGCCAATGTGAAGTGAAATGAAATGAGATTGTTTCTGCTGCTGGTAGGCGATGCGATGCATTGCCTTGGGTACAGGCACCACCGCAGCAATTTTAGAAATTGAATCACCACGGATGACAGCCATGGAGCTGGGATGAGAGAGAGTGCCCAGAAAATACTGGAAATCCCTGCGGGCTAAAAAAATTTCAAGGCAGCTGTTGCCTGGGGCGTATGATTAATGCGGGCATAAATCCGTGCAGATTTAATGGGTTTTCTAGCCAGGGACACATAAAGAGAAAACAAGAGAAATGAGATCTCCCACACAGAAAAATTATATGGAAATATATTCAAGAACGATGAGTGATCTTTTATTTCTAGAAGCAATTATATTTCATTATTCTATTTTTTGTCTTTAATTTTAAAAATGCATAACCTAGCATTGCAAGCAAGGCCTTGATCGCTGAAATGCGTCAGCAAAATGGTTATAAATAATGCAATTTACTTTAAAAATTTACTTTAAAAAGTGTGTAATCACATCCGATTTCTCATAGTTTCAAGCACATATATAAAGATTTCAGTAGAACCCTATTTATTTATAAAGATTTTATAGAGAACGTTATCCCTTTAGGTATAAAAGTCGCTGGAATATGAACAATATTAAAGATAAAAATCTAAAATAGTTCGCATGACAATATTGATATCGAAATTTTAACTTAGATTTTAGATAAAATTGAGGTAAAAATACAAAATCAAAAAGACTTCAAATATTAAAAAAGAAGAAATAATGTAATATAAAACACTGATCTTAATATCTCTATTTCTACTTAAGAATGTTAATTGTATTTCATTTGAAAACATTTTTGGTGGGCGACAACGACGGCGACATTAGGAATGTTCTCGGGCGTGGAAAACTTTTTCGAAAAGTGGTATTTTCGAACAGACAAACGTTGTTAGCGCCTGTCGCCGGCCATAATTCCACCCGGCGTGTACATACATATAGACGGATGTTATAAATAGAAATACATCTATAAATTATTATATGGCTGCCTGGCTGGCAAATGGGACGTATAGTATTCAGGGGCTGCTTCAAACATGATCGGATCGACGTCAGGACGTCAGCAATGCAGCAGCGTGTGAAAATGCCAAGGCGAAGTGCATCCCAATAATCTAAATCTGAATGGGCAAGCAGATGCGGAAACCGCACTGATAAGAAATATTATTGATAAGGCTAATGGCGCTAAGGTTTGATTACTACTGGGTCATCGAAAGAAAGCGCTAAATCAATATAATAAAATCACGCGAATGTCACAACAAAGCGCAGCGCCAACATAACGGTAGAGAAAGAGAGAGAGAGAGAGAGAGCTTTCTCCCATTTCCCTGCTTAGTGCTCTCTCCCACTGCTCCCTTTTAAATTCTCTCTTTGAAGGTTATGTGTGTGAGCTGCTGCTGCTTCGTTATCAGTATTTTTTTTTGTCGTGCACATACTTTTCATAAACAAACAAATATGCCAATGCAATGCATGGACGGACGACTGGTGCTAAAACAGTGTATTTCGAACTACATTTAAATGGTGCTAGGCATGAGCAGGGGAGGTTCGGTGGGCTGGGCGGGGAGAGCAGACGCTGGTGAAGGTCAGTAAAGGTCGTCTTCGTCGTCGCTAAACACTCGCGCTCTATGCTCGATTTTTTCTTTTTTAAATACAGTATATGGAATAGTAGGACTAATGCTTATCGCTATGATTTTGATTGGGAATCGCAGAAGAGGAGGAACTCCTTCCCGAAGCGAGTGTTATGAAATGTGATAAGGGGAGGGGTTGTTTTATTTTTTTTTTGGGATTATTAGAGCTTTCAACTTGGGGCAGGCTCTTTTTATTTTTCTTTCGGTTGCAGTTGCAGCCTGCAACCTTTAGCCATGCATACGCATACACACACACACACGCTCGAACGCACGCACACACACTCTCTTTTTGCGTTTGCTTTGCGCTTTTCTTTTATCATTTCTTTTTTTAATTATTGCGAATTGCAGTTGCAGTGCTCCTCCCAACTTACTGCTCATTTTGTTAGGGGTTTTCTTGGGGTCTTTGCTTGGATAATTATTCGATTTAAGCACTCGCGTGGGTGGTGGGCGTGCCCGCTGAGTTTTTCACACTGGATTCGAGTACGAGAACGAGGGAACGAGGCGTTTGCGATGCGCCAGCCACGAGCGATTACGAGAATCTGAGGCGGCAGTTCGCCAGCGGTGGGCATAAATGCCTAAATGCCACCGCTGAGCCACCGGCAGCGCAGTCGCCGTCACAGCTCCCCCCGCTTCTAGCTTGCGTGTGTGTGTATGTATGTATGTATGCATGTGTGTATTTGTGAGTAGGAAGGCGCCAAAGGAATTGTATTTTGCATTCCGCTTGCTTGGATTTCATTTCTGCTTTCGCTGCTTCTTCTTATTAATAGCTCGCCGGCTATTGCTGGACCGGCTATAAACGTAACGTGCGAGACAAAGAGAGGAAGATAGAGAGAGAGGGAGAGAGAGAGCTTTGAGCGAGCAAAGGTATGAAAGGTGCGAAAGTCAGTGCAAAAGTGGATGAAGATTGACGTTAGTGAGAGAAACTTATTCAGAAGAGAATAAACGAAGAGAGCAACAGGGTTGTCAATAAGATTTTGCACAGCTTTTAATAATTTATAACATTTATTCTCTAAATTAATTTAAATATAGAAAAGGGATTAAGTATCAGCTTGCAAGATTGACCAATTCATTTAATATGTCTTATTGTTAATTAAACAATAAACTCAAAACTTAAGCCAGCTTACTATGTAACAAAAGAAAACACAAAAATGTTGCCTACTTTTGAGAGTATGGTCACTGCAGTGCGTATAAGATAATGCATCTACAGTTATTTTTCTGCTATGATAGCATTCTTTTAGGCATTTTCTGAGGAATATATATCAACATATAGTACTTCCTACTATAATTTATAAATTAGAAATTAGTTTCATCATTTTGATTTGTATACTTTGTCAAGAAAGTAAAATGTATTTATTAGCCCATTTGTTGCTTTCTTTAATTATAAAGTCTGTTGTCTAAGAACTTGTAGTGATATAAACTCTGAAAAGTAAAGTCTTTCCAACACTGTTTTTAATGGCGCAAATTTAAACAGTGATAAAAATTTGAATTATTTTATTTTGAAGTAAAACAGATACTTAATCCCATTAAAAACTTCAATTTTTATTATCATTCGTTATAAATAAACGTGTTCGTTGCAGACTTACAAGTTCTATGTTACTTATTTACATATAAAAAGGTACCTAAGCGGTGGCATTTGAGCAAGACATTGCATCTCTCGATTTGTTAATTAGTTCTTGGTGCTTTTTTGGTAAAATATTCATGGCAATTCTCTAGGCAGACGGTTGTACTAAGGCTTAACTAAGGCATTAAATAGTGTATAATAAATAGCTGGCCACTAAAAGTAACTAAACTAAGCTAATTACAATGCTATGCTCGGGCAGTATCACAGTGCAGAGGCTCGTCCTCCGGCTTTCGATTGTTGATGGCATTTCTGGGCGAGATCACAAACGGCTTGCGCATCTGGGCATTCCTCAGGCGTCTCTGGGCGCGTTTCCGGCGACATCTTATCACGCAGAAGAGCAGAACTGCAAGGGAAAACAATATAACAATATATATGATACATTTTATATATAGTATATAATAGATTATTAACTCACCTAAGAGCACAAAGCAAACGCCTCCAAAGCAGCCAGCTGCAAAGAGCCAGAGACTCCGCGTTTCATCCAACTCGACGGTTGTCTGGCAACTGGCAAACGTCGCCGAGTGGATCGTCCGATTGTAGGGCAGTGGACATTCGCGGATGTCGAGCGCCTCTGAAAATGGAATTGCAAGTTGGTCATATGCCAAAATTAGCAGCTGCTGCATCCCTCTTCCATGTCTTACCCATGCAAACGGGCACGAACTGTGGACTGGCGCCAAGCATCATGAGATGGTTGGTGACCTGCTGGCATCCGCACTGGCTCAGCTGTGTCTTGGTCAAGTCGATGACTCGCAAGTGGCACAGATTGGCCAGGCTGTCGATCTTGAAGTCCTGCAAGGGATTCATCGAGGCATTCAGTTGCCAAAGTTCTACAGAAACAAATTGGTATGCATTAAGATCTCCCAGAGTGTTATATATTTAAAGTTCTGCTTACTTGGCATTATGCCCAGATCGGGCAACTCCTTGAGCTCACAATTGGCTATGTTGAGGTACTCCAGTGGCGCCCTAATGGGCTTCTCCAGTGCCTGTAGATCCAGGGACACCAGCTCGTTGCTATCAATATAGAGATTTCTCAGTCGTGGCAGCTGGAAGAGCTCCAGGGGTATTGTAGTCAGTCCATTATTCGACAGATCTATTTCCTGCAAGATGCGCCGATTAAGATGTTAAGAGTCATAGTTGCTGATTAATTAGATGTCGTGTTGTTACCTGGAGCGAAGTGAGCGGCTCAAAGGTTCCCGGCTCCACCGATAAGATCATGTTCTCATAGAGCATCAGAAATTTGATGTCTGTGTACTTTTGAAACGAGCCACTTTTCAGCTTCCTGATGCGATTGTATGATAGATCCAAAACCTACACAAATTGTGAGTGAATTGCAAGATCATTAAGTGATAAAGTTGGTAAACTTCTAGGAAAGCTATAGAGCAACTCGATTTCATCATATAAAATAGCACATCGAAATTACAGAGTTTTATATTGACTTGGCAGTATTTTTTGTGCCTGCTTGCAATTTCTGTGGGAATATGTCCATATATATGTATATAGCTGAATTTACAGTCTCTGAGCTACTTCTTTATTCTTTAATTAAGCCCAATTGAGGCTGACTAGAGAGGGGGGAATTAAGCTATGATGACGATGAATTAAGTTACAGATCACCCGCTATAGCTGACCCCACCGATTATTACTCACCTCCACCGAGGTCTTGAGATTCTGGGGCACCTCCTTGAGGTCCAGATCATAGCATCGTATCCGCAGCAGCTTCTCAATCCGTCCATACTTGCATTTGCGATCATCCTGCAGGAGAAAGGCTTCGGCTAGCAGGATCTGGAGGCACACAATGATCGCCGGCAGCTGCCAATGCAGTTCCATGCTCTGTCAGAAATAAAATACAAGGATATATTGTATAACTTAGTAGGGGAATTTCGGCGCCAACTTGTTTATTTTCTCGACTGCAACTACAATAATAAACTATGGCATTTAATCGCAGGGGGCATGGGGCGCGTCAAAGCGTTTATTTTCGAATTAGCGATTTACAAGATCAATGCCGATCATAGCTGGGGGTCTGGGTCTGGCCGTTTGGGGTTCCAAAACTGAAAGCATCCAATCAAGCGAATCTCCCGCACCTTGCAAAACCGAATCAGTGGCGATCCATTCAAGCCACCGTTGCGTATGAGTGATGCTCATGGCTCACATTACGTATACGTAATGTACAATCAGTGTCAACTGCAACAAAAGATGATTCCGCATAGCGGCGGAAATAGTTGCAAACCCTAATAATGGTAATAATAGAGACTAGCCCTGGAAATAACTGAGTCACTGGGAATCCACTAGGTTGTAGATAGATTCATCCACTTTGGGTGTGCGGTGTCTGTTTCCTTGTATCTTATCATGTTCTATGTATACATATATATAGTATGTACGCCTTTTAATTCAACATCAAAAAGCTGGAGAATAGTAGCAATAAATCATGGGAAATACATTCCATTAGAATGCTTTTATGGCTCTTTGAAATGTGTCAGAATCGCCGCAATTTGCCAAAATAGAAAAATGGAGGAAAAAGTCGAAAAACAATAATCGATTATGGGCCAGAAATAGCCCTGCTATAAAGTGATTTATACAGGAATATAGTTCCTACATATATCTTGACATGATCTTGGTCGAAAAAGGCACATTTGGTAATGAAATGGAAATGGCCAGAGACCCATTGTTAATATATATCTCTGTTACGCCCCATTGAAGGGCAATTAGAAAATTGCACGTTTCCAGCAACATTTTTCGCTGCCTTTGCGTGATATATTTATATTTGCTGTTGTTGCTTTTCGTTAGCTTTGTGAAAATGGAAACCCAACCTCATGAGCAATTTCTTAAGTATTGTGATTTTGCATTTGTGACATTCGGGTTAATTGCTGTCGCAGCTGAAAAGCTTTGTTTCGGGAAATCAAGTGTCACAGTCAGCAAACAGTCACTGTCCCTCACCCTCAGTATTTCAGTGTTTACCCAAACCTTAAACGGCTGCCAGGAGGAATGATGAACGACGACCGGTATCCATTCATATTGGCAAATCGGCATGAGCCCGTCCAAGTGGCGGAATTAAGACGCATTGAGTCCACCGATAAGATCTACTTCTTGGCCAATTACAAAGGCAACGCAACCGGAGGGGAACCTAATCAATTATAAAGTTAGTAACAATACATGGGTCATATTTAGCTCTCAACAAACAATGATTCATGTGCTGCTTTTAGCTGCCATTTCATGTATTTTACTTTGGGGGTATTTTTCCCTAAAGTGTCTTGGCCTTTGACCAAAAACTGTTGCGCTCCACTTGAAAGGCATATGCTGAGCCAATGCCTGGTAGCATGCTTTTGCCACCCAGTGTTTTCCACCTTCGACAGTCGTACGAATCAGCGAAACAACACAAGCAAAGGCAGAAAATATATCAAACAAAAAAATATTGAAGCTATTTCCACACTCTTTTTGGGTCTGACAGCGACCGCAACAATGGCTATAAATATATTTTCATATATTTAAATTAAAATTAAGCTGAAAGCACAGCCATCATCATACCTTATGGAATTCCTATGTCTTCCGCTCAAGGGGTCTCAAAATTCAACGAAAAATTGGCCATAAAAAGGGCTAATGCCGACATTGGATATAAAAGAAATATAAAATAGAGAAGTCTTCCCTCTATCGAAATGAAGGAATCAGCTTTAGCTTTAGCTTTAGCTTTAGAGGTGGCTATGGGTCAGAATTTATGCTTTCCACTTTGGCCGCATTTGTTCCAATATTTATTTATATATTAGGCTCAATCAAGCGGCTGTTGCCGCAGACAAACAATGGAACATGGATGCGAATGGGGTGGCAGAAATGGGTTACGGATCGGCATGGTCGCCTACACCCATCTTCCACCTCCCAAGATCCATGGAATCCATACGGAGCCGCCTGCCTGCCTGCCCCGATATGATAAATATGACGACGAGGGATTATTTATCTGCTCGCGGGGCCAAGCGATTATGGGGATAACCATACGAAACAAGAATATCGACAAAGCCACCGCCCGTAAAAAATGGACGAGAAGCAAAACGAAAAAAAAATCTCGAAATTAGTATCAAATATTTTAATAACATTCTAAACATTTGTGAATGGATTTATGTGCTCTTGTGATAGTTCCTGTCACACATTGTGGGCGTCGGCACACTCATATATATGCATATTATCGGGTATACTATATCTTTCGACGAGGGTGATCCCCCCCCTCCGGCACCTCTTCCTCCTCCCTTCAACAGGTGTGTGATCCATGGGGCCCCAAGATTTATTCACATTTCTCTCGAGCACGTTTAAGATTTATCTGTTTGGACTTTTCCGATGATGAAACATTGCCAGAGTGACAACTTTTACTATCACTTTTGTGCCGTCAGAAGATCTTGGTTACCCTTTTTTTTTTTTTTGATTAACTAGAATTCGCCTTGAGTAATAAGACCACATATTTTGTTATCAGAACAAGTCAAGTGGTACTCTCTTATCAGCTTTGTTCCCCTTTCCGCTGTAAAGTTCTTTCCAAATTAAGAACACAACAAAAAATTAAATTGAAACGGCAATAACAGTCACGGAAAGAACTGCAGAAAAAAAGCGTTGTTCATTTATTTCAATTAAACACAATCAAGAAAGCATTCGCCCCAGACAGGGAATGAATCAAGGGGGACAAAAAACAAAAGAATCCAAACCAATCGAACTGGTGGAGCCCTAAGCTACAGTTACAATTGTGAGTTACTGCCATTTAATATGAGAGGAGGAATGCCCTGGAAAAATAGACTTTATTTGGTTTAGAACTTGAAGCATCTCTTTAATAAATAAGAAAAGTTGTAGACTTTCCTACAGAGTTTTCCCCTCTTTCTTGGTCTGACACAATCGCTGTAAAGATTAGTCTTTCCCTCCTCTTGATAAGCAGGTGTTCTGTATAAAAGTTAATTACTGTATAAACACAGTCATTCTTTTTACTCTGGATTTTGTTGTATATATTATATACAGTGCAGGGAAGTACTAGGTACTGCCTTACTCTGAAACTCTTATTCCCACCACAAGATATTCTTTGCTTGGTGTATATACAGAAGCCTCCAATTGTCACTAATTGAAATCAATTTAAGTTTGGACTCTATCACATTATGCTGCCGGGGGTGGAGAGAGAGAGAAAGAGACTTTTACAGAGACTGGGGCACATTTCAATGCTAAGTTTCCTGATTAGAAAACTTAATAAACCCGCCCAGCTGTTGTGCAATCTACTTGGAACGTACTATTATGTGGTTCCATTGATGATAACCCGTCAGACCCCGACTAGTCTTAGGGAGCAGTAGAAAACTAAAGAGTTAATCTATGGTATATAGTATATAGACTTACCGCTTAGGTATTCCCAGTGATCTTCAGGTATAATCCCATTTATAGTTTGAAAGGATAATCCTTGAGCAGGCACAGGATCATTATAGCACTCCACAGACTTCACTTCACTGAGCACAGGGTTTTCTTTATATTATGCTTTCTGATTTTGTGTTGTGATTTTAATATATAAACACTTTGAAATAAAGTTTAGAAGCTGTTTCCTTTATTTTTATATTTTTTTTAATCCTATTCTTTTTAAGATGTGATCTTTTAATTTAATCACTTCTAAATAATAGTTATTTACGCCGGATAAGAGACTATAGCGAGCGTTACGGAGCATGCACGTTAGCCGGAACCGTTCAATTCAACCGCAGACATGGAATTGAAACGAACGTTGAGATCGGTTCGCCTTTTCGGACTCCGACGATCGCCGCCGAGCACTGTTCGACCCGAAAAAAAACTCTGATAAAGCACAAACACACACAGATGGGTCTGTTGCAGCGGGAAAACTCGGTGGAAATTCGGGAGAGTCCACGGAAGAGACCGATCACTCTCACTCTCTCTCCCACTCTCAATGTCTACGCTCTCGTTGCTCTGTGATAAGAGCAATGGAAACTGATATATCTGGAAATTGAGTTATCTGCGGGATTTTTGGACAGCTCGAGTGTGGATATTTCTGATTTAGCTGGCCACTCATCCAATTAGCAAACAAATGATAATCGAAATCGATCTCTTAATAAAAGCGACACGAAAAACAAGTGTAAATGCGTGTGGAATGTTATGTCAAGCCAGACAAAGTGAAGAATGATACGTTGATACCCAGAAATGACATCTTAACCCAGGCAGGCATAAATGTGGGCAAAGAGGCTTAATTCCTCCCAGTCCTTATCAGCGGCACCTTCCCCCTGACAAGCCAAGATCTCTCATGTCTGGACAGACTTCCACAGGCGTCTTGTTCTGGTTCAACCATAAACCCATAAATACCCGAGTGACGAGACCGCTAATTGCTACCTGGCACCGGGTCGAACTTCAGGTAGAACTCCAGTTAGGGATGGACCAAGTATCAGTATATTTAAACTACATCTATATTAAAATCTTTTGAATATATCGGATTGATGTTTCTGCGTTTCAGATATTTGAACCTTAAATTCGATTTGTTTTTATACAAGAAAGTTTATATTTCCTTTATCATATCTCGATCACCATATTTTTTGTCTTCATATCATATAAAACTCCAGTTAACACACACCAAATCTTTGCTTTGCTTTTCATCGATTTTATTATACACTTTTTGTTCACAACATGAAAAAGAATTGGTAGAAAAATATGACATCATGGTTAAAGGTTTTAATATCTATATGTATAAACCCATATTCCATTAGTTTTCCTTATGTTGCTTTTTTAGTCTTCGCTTTGCAATGTTCTCTTTTTTTCTTGGTTTTTTAAGATAAGTTTAGAAGTGAGAATGTGGAAAATCAAAAGGTCGAAATAAGTGATTCTTCAGTTGGTTAATCGAATAAAGAAATCAAAGTAAACATAAGGTTAGGGGAAAAATAAATAATTCTTTCCGAGGTTCGATATTCTCTCCTCTTCTCTTCGTTGATTATGTAAAATGTGTGTTTTTTACAAAAGATTGAGCAATCATATAAATATAAAACGTCCTTCGCTACTAACATCCTTCAGTTAGTTCTAATTTTCTCTAGCTTTCACATTTTTTTTTACTTTTTTCTTAACGTGTTTTTCGTTTGTTTTTTATACATTTTCTTGATAATTTTTTCGTTTTTTTTGTTCGATTTTCGTTTGATTTTTTTTTTTTCTTTTTTTGTTTGGTGATAATATGGTTAAATGTTTACCGTATCTGATCTGTGTTGATTAAATAAAACGTATTTCAAGCATTCATTTTGGTTTTCCATGAAAAATCAATGAAGCTTATTCCGTGAGGTATCCTCCTTCTCCTGCTCCATGCTTTGAGTAAGTTCAACTCGGTCAACTTACTCGATAATACGGCTCTTGCTTGGCCAAACTAATCACGATCTGCCGCAGGATGCCCCTCCAGTTTAGGGCTCCTCCTGCTGCAGGCTCTGCAGCTTCTCGGTGATGTTCGTGCTCTGGTAGAAGAGACGCACCACATTGGTGCCCTCGCCCTTGGTGGCCAGTATTTCCACCTGGAATGTCTCGGAGCAGCGCGTGTCGATAAACGTTTGCAACTGGGCCACATCGCACTTGCTTATGGTGGCCGCCTCCAGCTCGCAGTGTTTGCTAAAACGCTTCGGCTTTGCCAGCTCCTCGGGCAGCTGGCGGAACTGCTGAGTCAATGCGTTGTTACCAAAATCTATGAAGTGCACCTCGCACTTGTTGTCTTCCAGCACCTTGATTATCTCGGCGCGATAGAAGACCTCGTCCTGGGGGAACTGGGCCACGCACAGGGCTCCCTCCTTGAGGTCGCTGAAAACGGGCCAGTCCTGTTCCGCGTCCAGCAGCTTATCCGTCATCTTCTCCAGCTCTGGCACCTCGCTCTCCATCTGCACATAGAAGGAGGTGGGGCCATCGTACTGCACCACAAAGCAGTTATGCAGCTCCGCTTCCAGTGGCTTCTGCACTCCGGCCACTGTGCTAGCCAGCTCCTGGGCAAAGTCCTTATAGTTTATGCAAAGCTTAGCCAACAGAGGCTTCGATTCATCCTCCCTTGGCTGAGTGGTTATCTGGTAAACCTCTCCAAAGTGTTGTTCTAGCAGGGCGACAAAGGCCTGTTCCAGTTTCTCATCGGGCACATCGGCGGGCAGTTCGCTCAGCTGGCAATGCAGCGCCTGCGGTTCAATCTGTTCAATTCCCTGGGGCAATTTCCAAATCTCCGGCACGGTTATGGTGTTGCCATAGTCCAGCAAAAAGGCCTCATAGCCTTTGTGATCCTCCAGAGACGACTTGACGCTGCAGCGGTAGAAGCAGGCATCTTCTTGGGAGTAGCAAATACCATTGTAGTCCTTCGGCGGAGCCTTAAATACCTGCAGGTGGTCCTTGCTTAGAGCCCGTAGGGTCTTAACAATCACATCCAATTCCGGCAAATTGTTCTTCAGCTGGACATAGAAGCTCTTGGGTGAGTTGCCGTGCGAAATGACGCACTCCGAGTTCTCATTCCGCTTCTGGATGATGGTCAGCTCTGTCTTGAGCACCTTCTGGAGCTGCTCGCAGATGTTCAGGCCCTTCTTATCGTTGGTGGTCAGTCTAACCAATGCGGGGCTCACTGACTTGTCTATGAACTCCACCACAACATCACCATTGCAGCAGTCCAGCAGCGCTTGGATGTTTACCTGGGTAAGTTTTTTGTTCTTCTCAAAATCAGCACAGGATTCTATACGGCAGATCTCAGCAATCGCTGGAATGGTCTTGAACTCCTCTGGCATATCGTAAAGCTTGTCCACTACCGAGGGGTTGCCATAGTCAATGAAGATGACGCGGTATTTGTCATCGTCCAGTACCTCCAAGATGCGAACGCGATAAAACTCCATGTCTTCGTCATATTGAGCCACAAGTAACTCGTCCAGCTGTCCCTTCTCCTTCTTGGGCTGCAATGTGCCATCATTGAGCTTCTCGATAATGATTTCCAGCAACGGTTCCTTTTCGCTAAACTGCAGATACAACTCAGTTGGGCTCCCAACGTGGGTGACGACAGCTTTGGTTTTTGGAGAGGAGCCCTCGGTTAGTGACTCCTTGCTGGCAGCCTTCGGTTCCTTGCGCGGACACAGCGGCAGCAGGCGATCGTTAATATTCTCGCCGTCCAGCAAAAGTTGTATAGTGACATGATCCTGACCGGGCTTCACCAGCTGCGTAGTGAATATTAGCTCTCCCTCGCCGGTTAGCTCGGCGAACTTGGCCTCCGCTTCCGGTGACCAGGATGTGTAATCTTCCGGCAGCTGCAGTGAGCACTTCTTCGAAAGGCTGGGCAGTTTGGCAATCTCCTCGGAGAGCTGCAGGCACTTGGACGTGGTGGAAGTATTCCCGTAATCAATGAAAAGCACCTCATAGCGGGAATCCGGAAGTTGCTTCAGCAACTGCGCACGATACCACAGCTCGTCGTCCTCAAAGAGGGCCGCCACAATGGCACCCTTTTCGAATTTCTCCAGCGGCTTTAGCTTCTCCTCGTCCCGCAGGAACATCTCAATCAGTTCCAGCGCCTTGGAGTCCCGCTCCAACTGGATGTAGAAGTCGCATATGCCGTTAACATGCGAAATGTAGCAAGTGCAGCCGCTGGCCACGTACTCCAGCGGCAAGGCAAAGCCATCGGCGATGAGCTTCTTGGCGACATCCTCCCCATCAATGAACAAGTTCACGTAGCTAACCGTCTGGTGGTCGCCCTGGGTGAGGTATTCGTAGCGGATATGCTTTGTGTATGATTCGTTGAAGATGCCATTTGCCGCATCCACCCAGTCGGCGGTGTTCTTGGGCCTGATGGGCAGGGCGCAGGGCACGCAGAAGGGTTCGATATGTGACCACATACTCTCCCTGACATCCGATGTGTCCGACACACAGTCCGTGTTGCCAAAGTCCACGAACTGCAGCACCATCAACTCAGCGTCGATAATCTTGGAGCGATACCAGTTCTTGTCCACGGAGTACAAGGAGATGCAGTCAGCACCATTCACCACATTCCTCAGTTGGGGCAGGGAGGGCGAGACAATCTGGAGATTTTCCTGAAGCCGATTCACCTCCGGCAGCCGGTCGACGGGGTGGACAAAGAAGTGGGCCGGATTGTCACAGTGGCTAAGCACCGCCTTTTCCATGTCTTTGAAGGGATCCTCCTCGGGAGGAGTGATCTTAACGGGCTTTTGAACAGACTCCGGCTCGGGCTCAGGCTGTGGTTCTGGCTGTGGTTGAACAACTGTCTTGGGTTCTGGTTCCTTGACAGCCACAGGAACTGGAGAAGCTGGCTTAGGATCCACTGGAATCGGTGTGGGGGCTTTAGCTGGCACTGGCGAAGGCGCAGTCGCTGGTGAAGGAGTCGGCGCAGCAACTGGCTTTGTCTTTTTGGGCTCCCTGTCGTTTTGTTGCTTCTTTTTGGGCGAGCTCAACTTGCTGCTGCGTCGCTTTTCCTCCTCATCATCCGAAGTCAAGTCTACCGTTTCAATGTACTCGTAAATTCGGGACTTTCCCTTTTCTAGTTGCTTGCGCATGTAATCCAGATCCCTGCCTGGAATGAGCTTCTCTGCCTTGAGTATTTCCACCACACTTTCATCGTTCTCCATGAAGACATCGGCGATGAGATGATTTCGTCGTACCTCAATAGCTTTGATAGTAACCGCTTTAGCCTCAAGGAGTTCAGCAACACGAGTTTTCAGCTTATCAGCATCGTTGGGCCGTCCAATGGGTAAGTTGACCTCGATGGCGAAGCCACTACTGCTCTCGAAGAATTTATCGTCCAATGCCCGAATATCCTCGCGTTTTACCAACTCTGTGTTGCCATAATCAATGTAGAAGACCTCGGTGCTTGCTGCCGTTGAATCTCTGCCACAGATTCGTGCTCGATACCAATTGTTATCGGAACTGCGCGCGGCACAGATCTGCCCCGATTCGTATTTCTTGAGGGGAACACCTGGCGGAAGTGATATAAATAGTGATTAAGTTAGTTCTAGGTTTGAGTAATGCAGTTCTCACCCTGGGTCTCGTAGAACTCATACATGTCATCCAGTAGGTTGTTAATGGTACCATCTGTGGACAGATTCTGGACGAAGATGCGGTAGGGCTTTGAGGTGAAAGCCACTAGCGCCTGGAAAGAGCTCAGCACCACGGGATAGGGACAAATAAATGCCTTACGATCCTCCATGAAGAGCGGCATCACAGGGCGCAGGTAAATGCTGAAAAGAAATAATAATAATAGTTATTTTTTTATGAAAGGATAACTAAATAGTGTCATAATGTCCGATAATCCCGATATCAAGAATATTATCAGAGCATACTTACATATTATTTTCGCAGACATTTTTGATATTAAAGGCAAAGGATTTTCCCTCGTAGAACTCCTTAAAGCGTCTGGCCAAATCCGGATTTGATTTGACGAACTTGGCATCGTCATAGCTGCACATAAAGTTAACATAGTCACAGTAGTCCAGTTGAACCTTGAAGCTGGTCATGTCCCGAATGAAACTGAACCTGCCCCTGATCTGTTGTCCTGCCAGAAGACGCACACGAACCTCTGCGAAGTAAAGAGTAATATATAAACAAATATACTATTAATCTAGCTGCAATCTTACCTGGAGCCACCTCACTGAGTAACTCTGCCTTGATCAGCGTTTTCTGCAGAGAGACACCGTTCACAAATATATTTATGGTGTAGGTACATCCATTTTGGCTGCCATGATTGTTGCCTATCCTCTCCTTATACAGAAATTCGCACTCCACCATGGCATTGACCGGCACATACTTCTCCATCCGATCCACAATGTACAGGGGATCATAGTTGGCCACCACGCTGTCGAAAGTGCAGCGTTGGGCCAGGCACGGTATATCTGCAAATCGCTGCTCCAGCGGCCATACATCCTCCGAGGTGACCGTGATCAGGCTGCCAGTGTCGACGCAGAAGACACGATATTTGCGTATCATGTGATTACAACCGATGATCGTGGCGCGCAGGATGGCGTTATCCTTGCGCTGGCGCACCACCACTGTGGAGCCGACCTTCAGCTGGAGGGGCTGATGCTGCTTCTGGCGATAGAACTGTCGCATCTCGCGGAGAACACCATCGTACTTGGCAGCCAGACTCTTGGGCACAATGTAGAACTGGAAGGGCGAGACCCACCAGGACAGACTGGCCGCCTCCTTGCTGGGAGTTTTAATCTCCGGCTGTACATACGGCTTGTCCAGGGGCACATACTTTTCCGGTTTGGATTCAGTGGAGGAGGAGGCAGCATCGCTCTCCACGCCGCTAGAACGCTTCGAGGAGCTGACGGCGTTGCCGTCCAATGTGGACTTTTGTCTCTGCGGCTTCTGGGCAAAGCCCTGGGGTGCGTTTTGCGATCGCTGATTCTTCTGCTGGTCATCTTGAGTCTTGCGAGGCGATTCGTTCTGGCTAAAGCGACTGGAAGGGAATATTGATTAATATTGTCTACTTTCTTCTTTAAGCATGCGACTCACGTATTTTTATTCGCCTCTTGCTTTCCATTCTGCAACTTTGGAGACTGAGTCTGCAGGCGTCCGTTCTGCTGGCGTTTACCCTTGCGGGGCGAACTTATGCCACTAACGTAGCTGCTTATGCTTTGGGTATCAAAGCTGGAATCCAGATGTCGATCAAATCTCTCATTCGGTTGCTGCTGCTGCTGCTGCTGGCGCCTGCTGTCCTTGGAGCTGGCCGATGTGGAGCTGCGCTTGTCCCAGTCACCCGAAGTCTTGCTGTTTCCTTTTCCAGAATCAAGAACAGGATCCTTGAGTTGCTTCTGCTGCTTCTCCTTAGAAGGCACGCGATCGACAATCTCCACAATGCTGGTGGAGTTTAAAACGTTGCTCTTGTCCAGCTCCGATGAAACTATCGACTCGGTGTGCGTGGTATTGAAGTGTCCCTTCTCCAGCGTCAGGTACTTTTCAAAGGGCATCGAGAGCTTGTACAGCTTCTTCATCACATTCAGGTTCTTGGCTATCAGATTCACCACAGTGAGGCCGTCGGGTTCGATGCGGAAGACGCGTACATTAAAGGTGCGACGCTGAATGTTCGAGTCTTCGGCCAGCATCTCAAACTGATCGGTGATCTTATCCTTGCCCAGATCGCTGTTCTCGAAACCCTTCAGGCAGCACTTGACTGCCTGACGCGGCATTTCGAGATGCTTCTCGGCTATGTTACCAATGCAGTGGCGTTTCACAACCTGCTCGTAGCCAAAGTCCACGTGGCGTACGATCACAGTGTCATCCACACGCAGGACCTCGGCACGATACCATTCCTGGTCGCAGCGCACCATGCACGGTGCTCCCAGGATCAATTGTTCGGGCACCCTCTGGTTGGCATTGTAGTAGGAGAACATTTCATCCATCAGCTTGCCAAACTTCTCCACATTGACCACCTTTTGGACATAAAAGTTGCTCGGCGAATCAATGTAACGGATCTCTACTTCATCGTCGTTCTGGAGCTGCTCCGCTTTGGTGTACGACAGGCGCGTGTTCTTCATCTGCCGGAGCTTCTCCAGCATATTAAAGCCCTGAAATAAAAACTGAAATTAGAGAATTTCGTTCACTCTCCAAAGAGAGCAACTTACATTCTGCATGAGGTGGCAGGTCTGCATGGCGCCAACGCTCTCTGGCGCATGCACAGTCAGCTGAAAGTTCCTATAGGTGCACAGTTCTTTAAAGATCCTCCTCATGCTCTCGTCTATGGGTTCGATCTCCTTGGTTCCGGCCAAGGCGAACCGATAAGCGAACGGCTTAATCTCCAACAGCTCGGCGGGTATTTGGAAGAGGTCGCTAATAAGCAGCAGTCCCGAGTTTCCATAGTCCACGTAGACCACACGGAAACGCTGCCCACTGATGCCGCTTACCAGAGCGCGATACAAGTTACCATCATCTGCAAAGCGGGCGACGCATGCCGATCCGATTTCTGGAGCCTGCAACAGCGGCTTCAAGTGAGTTTTCTCAATCTTTCCCATCATGGCGGTCAAATCGTTCAGGCTGCTCTTCAATTGCACCCAGAACAAGTGGACGGCGTTCTCAACATAGCTCATGTAGACGTCGTAGGTGAGGCCCACGGTTAAGCTGGTGGTCCTGAAGGCCGGAATGGCGCGTTGCTGGGTCCTGTGTCCCGACGCCGTTGGCGTGGGCGGCGGAGTAAAGCGTGCGGGGGCATAACTCATCTGTGGGTAGTTCACCAGATGGTTATTGAGGGGCACCACCTTTTGTGGGGCCGGCTGATTCAGCCGGACATTATAGTAATTGTATCGGGGCGTGGCGGAGGCCTTGGGCACATAAGGTTGAGCAGCCGGCGCTGCGGGCTGATAATTGGCACGATTATAAGGATTGGCCGGCACGTAGGCCGGCTTCTGAGTATTGGCCAGGCCTTGCGATAGCATCTGTACATTTGTCTGCAAGTATATAAAGTTACTATGTATATCGATTCCCAAGTGAGAAATGCACTGAATCATACCACATTGGCTAGCGGAGTCTGTTTGGGCGCATATTCGGCGGCCTCTGCATTTAGCGGCCTTGGTGGTGATGTCACCTGAACCGAGCGCTGAGCCTCGAGGCGGGCGGACAGGGATCGGCGCGACGCCAGCTGTTCCCGTGCAATGTCCGTCGGAGTCATTGAGTTGCTGTATATGGTGTTATTATTATGCTCCGCAAGTGGCGTCTGCGGCGCATCCTTCCACAACTTGCGGCAGTGATCCAGCATTAGTTGCTTGGCCACTGGGGCACCGATTTTCCGCTGCTGCACCAGAAATTCGTCCAGCCGAAAGTCCTTCCAGCGCAGGCTGGCAAATTTCTGGCCACATATTTGCGTGGCATCGATGGCCAACTTAACGGTCTGATTGACAATCAATTGGTGAACAATCCCCAGATCGCCCTGGCCCCAGTCGTGGCAGATGCCCAGGACTATGTACTGGGAGCAGAGCAGCGGAATGTTCTGCATAAGTTTTGGCGTCTTGGGGAATATCAACTGCGGGGAGAAGGAAATCGATTAAAGAGGCAACTGAAAGCAGACTTTCTTACTCACATCTTTGCCCTTGACTGTGCGCTTGAAGCCATAGTCTAAGAACTCAATCTCCGCGCGCATTTGTTGGCCCTCGAGCTCCGCGGAGATCACACGGACCCTCATGTAGTCCACATCGCCGGGAGCAGGACCATTTGTCCGCTTGTAGGCGCAGATGACGCCGGATATGAGCAGAGCCTGCTGTCGCTCCACACTCCAACTGGGTTCGATGCTGAAGCAGGCGGGCAGCACCTGCTCGATGCCCTTGCTGACGAGGATGGCGGCATCATGGTTGACCTGGCCGTAGACCTTCAGGTACGGGCCTACGTGGTCCAGGTGCGTAATGTATAGATCCAGATTGGAGGCGCCTACGCTCGGTGCCTGTCCATTCATGGTTGGGTGTTATGGTTCGCTGCAATCGTGGAATTTAGTGAAAATATCGCAAAAGATACAGTAATTTCCTGCGAAGCCTATCAAAACACACACACACGCATTCTGTGGCATTCGTCTTTCGATCAAGAACCGTTAGTCCGATTGATGGATATTTGGCAGCCCTGGATGTAACTGACCAATCCTGCACACAGTTAACGCGTTCTTGTATGTGTGTTCGCCAAAGGCTTCTATTTTTCGCATTAAGACAACAAAGTAATTAAAACATTCCAATACCACTTACGTCTTGTCGTCTTCGTTGTCCAGATTCAAAGCGAAACTCTGAAAAAACGCCCTGCCCGCCGCCAGGTGCCCCAGTTCTCTATCTGTCTATCTCTCTCTATGTGTCTGTCTCTGTGTTCTCCCTGTTATTTAATTATATTTGCCTGCTCGGCTTACGGAATTGGACGGCGTTTTTGGGGGTAAACGGTGGCACAGTTCTTAATGGCTGGGCCTCGGGCTCTTTTCGGTTTACTTTTTGTGGAAGAAAGTCTTGCGAGTGATTAGAAATCGCGATGCACACACACCTCTCCCCGATCCACGTCTCAGTGCAGGTGCTTTGGTGCAGCGATATATTTTGATTCCTATTGGGAGAATGGGGGTTTACGGTTTTCAGTCTTTTGAATTTCCAGGAGCGCCCGCTCAGCAAGCGCCTCTCGTCAACTCTGATTCGTAGTTATTAGTCGGAAGAAGCAATGAAGCAGCGCGAAGTAAGTTAAATCGAAAAATATCACCCAACCTTTTCCACAAGACAACGAAGACTAGTGTTGGTCAACGACGGCGGTAATCACGTATTTTCTCACAGCAACTGGTCACACTCGCCTATCGCTGCTGGCATTTTCGTGACGCGTTAGCACCACCGCCAAAAACCAGGCAGATGTTTAACGCCACAGCGAGCGATTTTTAATAACAGTGTTTTAGAACTAAATTAAACTAATTTAATGTGTTTAAGACAAATATTTAAGATGAACTAAGCCCCGCCAAGGTCGCACGCACAACTGAACACGGTAGAAGAGCTCGGGGCGTGCGACAAAAGGGCAATAAATGCCCCTAAAATCCGGCGGTCTACGCGCGTTTTTCGCTTGGGCGGCATAGTTTTCCCCTACCTGGGAAAAGTGCCACATTTCCAAAAGGTAAATGCACTTTCATTAAGATTGATGCTTTTGTGATAAGGAAATCGTCAGTGGCTGGTCTTTGTGGACTTTCGCTTTCGTTTTTTCCGGCTTCCCCAAGCCCGGCAAGTGCTCTAAAAGCACAGCTAAAGCGAGCCTGTACATAACGCCGCGTGCCTTCCATAAGAGCCATAACTACAACAAAGAATCTATTTTTATTCAAAGAATGGCCACCAGCAACTCTTTAAGGAATAAAATAAACAACAGCTATGAATCGGAGCCATCCACGGGCAGCGGGGTAAGATTAAATGCAGCTTTAAAACCTTTCATAAATATAATATTGTCCCGTGTTTTTAGTCTTCGCTCAGTGAAAACAATGAGGGCCACATATCTGACGAAGAGCACTTAAATCTGCCGTATCTAATGAAACCGAAGACACTGAGCCAGACCCGTTTAGCTCCAGAGACTACCATCGCCACGCCACCACCTGCTCCGAAGACCGGCAGCCAGGAGTCCCAGTTTAAGGGCTTCGGCGACAGTCCCTATGGCCAGGTGAACAAGCGTTTGTATGGCTCCCAGCTGCAAAACCTAAAACTGCCCGAGGTGGAGCCACCCCCTGCCGTCCGTGGTCCGTCGCCCGGAAAGATAGTCTTTCCCCGGTTCTACGACTCTCTGATCGAGGAGAACAGCTGCAATGCCGTGGACATGGCCGTATCGGTGTCGGTTGAACTTACAGCCACTGCGACGACTACGACGGGCAGTCTCTCCTTTGATGGCAAAATCAAAAGTCTGACAGAGGAGCAGGAGAAGCCGAGTACCTCCAATGCCAATCCCTCCCGGCTCTCCACTGTGCTGGAAACCTCGCTGAATACCTCGCAGCAAAAGTTCAATAACGAACGCTCTCCAGATCTCTTTGCCGACAGCGATGAGGAGGCGTACGAACAAGAGGAGAAGGCTGCCCCACCAACCAGACTCGAAGACTTACCCGAGGCCTTGGATGAGTCGCAATGCACCAGCGATATACGTATCCGCGCCACGGAGTCCAGTTTTGTGGATGAGCAGACACTGGACATGTCGGCCACTCAGCTAACTGCCAACGATCCGCGCTCACATTTCTTGGAGAACTGTCGCAGGGAGCGGGAACTCTATCGACGGATACGACGCTGCCTGCAGGGCGTACGTCCACCGCCCACAGTGACCAATCCCGAAATGGATGTGATCAAAACGGTGCTCAGCATGAAGGCAAATGTACTCAACTTTTTGTCAAAGGAGGCTCCGGACAAGACGCAGGCCAGGAGTGAGGATAGTGCGACTTCCTCCTTGTTTCGGCCCACTCACAGTCTGTTGGAGGCCCAAAGTATGGGCTGGCGAGAGGTTCTGGGCGTGCGACAACATGGATTGAGGTGGGACTTGCTTTTTGGTGTGTTTTTTTAAACCCTAAAATATACAAATTGTTTATATTTGCAGCTACAACTTAAACAAGGCTGCCGAACAAAATGAATACCTCAGCATGTCCGTGGTTGATCGCTATGTGGGCGTGGAAACAGCCACCTCCTATGTGCGCTCCCCCTCTAGTGCTAAGAAGCGAAATATACGAATGAAGTGAGTTATATAACATACTCTGGCCTCCTAGAATTAATTAATTATTTCCTATCTTAGGATGCTCACCCAATCGCCTGGCAATCGTCTTAGTCACCTGGCCAGACGCCGTGCCATATTTTCATCGGCAAATCTGGCCACCAACTCACAGAAGCTAAACAGTTCAATTGGACCACAAATATTGCTAGATAAAAAGTGGGTAACCATCTAATATCTCTCCCAATAATGAAACTAATTTCCTTAATACAAATTAATAGAAAAGCTCGCAACAAGCGCAAGGCCACGCCCAAGCGCAAGACGCCGGGCAGCAAAAAGAAAGGTAAGTCCAGAGATAAGATAAGCCTTTGAAGTGTGAAACCTATATCATTCAATTTCCCAGCTCGCAAGACGCCCACTTCCTCCGCCCGCAAACGTCTCTACCGCACCGATCTCATCAAACCGGGTCCGGGTCCATCGAGGGAATCCTCAAAACGCGCCCTGTTCCAAAGCCCAGCCAAGTCCCTCCAGCAGCAGCTAATGCCACCTAAGCCTTTGTTCAAGCCGGAGATTGCGAATCGTGTGGAGCGTTCCAAGCGGGCGCTCTTCTCACCGGATCACCAAGGCGGCGGCAGCAACCAACTGGAGTCCTTGCTGAAGCGCAAACGTAATGCCTGCGATGACGAAGACTCTGCTGATATGGCCAGCCAGAGCAGCAAGCTGTTCCGTGCCGAAAGCAGTGGACCCAGCGGCTTGACGCCCCGTGCCCTCAAGATCAAGAGTCAGAGCTTCTGCATTGGAGCTGGTTCCTCCACGGCAGGTGTACAGCAGAAGGCAACACAGCAGCTGGCAGCGGCGGGAGCCAATCCGTCCCGAATTAGTCTAGGACTCAGCGGCAGCAGCAGCAATTTAGCCAGCAGTTCCTTTGGCAGTGGAACGCCGCTGGCGAATAAACTGCAGCGTGCACAGTCGGAGATGAGCGCCACACCGAATAGCAGCATGACAGATAATCAGAGAAAGGTGAGCATTCAGTCACTATTCCTACCCTTAACTATATATCACTTATGTTGACATCTTTATTCGCACAGAAACTCCTTTGGGCAGTTTCCCAGGCCCTGCAAGAGCGTAAAATCACAGCCAAGCATGAGCACTTCCGTCAGCATGCGGCGGATCTCACGCGCATTGTGAAGCGCATCTTCCAGGAATTCTACCTGGGACACACAACCAGCAATAGCGAGACGCTGCTAAGGTAAATTTCACAGGGGTGGGGAGAATCCTCTTCTTATTTATTGCAACTCTATGGTTCTTTCCTCCCTTACACAGGCTAGCGAAGAAGTTCGCCTTCAGCGTAATTGCGGGCAAAAATGCGGATGATGTTTACCTGCAGGCACGCAGTCAGGAGAGCGAGGCCAAACGCCTGTCCAGCACTCGGCTATCCGGCTATATTGGGCCCGAGGAGTTTGCTCAGCGCAAGTTGCTTCTGTCACAGACATCCTCTGGTGTGGGTACATTATCCGGATCCACACGGTCCCTGCACAACATCTTTGGTAGTGAGAACTCCATTGATTCGTTTGGTTTGAGCCAGCAGACGAGCGCTTGCACGGATACGCAATCGAGCCTGGTGGACCGCATTGCCGAGGATTTGTTCTGCAAGGAACGACAACCCATTCGGCCGAATCCCACGTTACAGAACAGCTCGTCGAAAAGCAATCTGGGTGGACTGGCGTTGCGTGAGAACGTTGACTGTGAGCTAAGACGATCGGCGCAGAAGAACTTTACGGGCAAGGATCAGAGGAACATCAGTCCTTATTATGGAGGAGGAGGAGGAAATGGAAGCAACGGCTCGGCCCGAAAGTTCCAAGTGCCTTCAGCGAGCAGCAACAACTCTGGAGGAAAGGCCAAGCGACAGATATCCTTTGACTGCTAACATAAGATACGAGGTAAAGGGGATTTCTCGGTGCAGGATTAATCCTACCTTTTGCCTGGCCTGATATTTGGAAAGTTTTCTTTTTGTTTTCTATTATTTTTTTATGGTTGTTTTAGCTTAATTTATTTAACTGCCAGGTATATCTCTCTCTCTTGGAAAAATCCAAACACAAAGGCAGACAACCGTTTAAAGATAGGTATTAAATAAATATATAAAATACATCTCTTATAGATCTTATAGATCGCCCACCTTTCCTCCCGACTTGCACCACATTTAGTTAAAAATTGAACTATGATCTATTAACGTTTTATATAAGATCTATATGGGATTTATTTTATGCGCGACTCAAAACTCAATGAATGCAATATTTTCCACTGAAGTCTAGACGTAGAATGTACCAAATTTGTGCTTAAAAATTACAAATTTTAACCAACTAAACCGCAACTGCAACTGAAATTAAGCTGAAATCGAAGTTATTTGTAAGATTGTAAAGTGAAATTTAGCATAATAAAAGCGTGTCAATAATATCCACTGCGATGTACATATCTTCGCACCAACCAGAAGGAGACGATGTGAAAGATAATGGCCACCACCAGCAGGCTGAAGCAGTCCAGCCAGTAGGTGTAGTCGGCGGTGCGGTAGGAGCCCTGCTGCAGCACCTCCAGACCGGTCTTGATGCAAGGATGATCCACGTTGACGGGACAGTCTGCGTAGTGGTAAATCTCTTATATATCCTTAATTTGAATGCTTCTCTTCTTACCTATATTATCAATGTCGATCCAGAAGTTGTACATTAGCGCCTCGTTGGAATAGAAGAACAACGAAAGGTACTTCAAACCGGGCACTGTATCCACATTCATGTAGGTTCCTCCGAAGATCAGAAAGATTAAATCAAATGGCGCAGCGCATTCCGAGGCCATTTTGTCCGTTTCGAATAGGCTGGAGAGGAAGACACCGTAGCCCACGGCTGCCACCGCAGATAAACTCATCAAGAAGCCCATGCTTAAGTAGAGGAAGAAGCCGCGAGTGTAGTAAATGGAAGCATATATCACCGACAGAAAGACATAGGCCTTGAAGAAGGCCACTGGGACAAAGGAGAGCACCAGGGCCACATAGTAGGCGGAGAGGCTGTAGGTGCCTTCACCCACTTCACGACGGATTATGGGCAAAGCGGCGGGAAAGATGTACGTGACACCGTAGCTGTTGGAAGAGGTATCTTGGCTTTATCCTTAAAAGTTACCAGCAAGGAATACTAATCTCACCTGAAGGTAAAAATCATCTCGTTGCTGAGCATGAAGATGGAGCCGCCCACATCTTGAACTGTGCGCTGAGTCAGTCCCCCGATGCCGGAGTACATCAAGGATAGCGTTACAGCGGTGATCTGTGGATACAAAGGATTATACAGAACTGAAGATTAAGGAACGTATATAAACTCACCATAAAAAACCCAAAGGCAATGAGAGCGCTCTTGATATTCCTCACATCTTCGGTCATGAAGCGCACCATCAACAGGTAAACCTGATATACCCAACGTATCTTCTTACTAAAGGGATATAGGGGATTATACTTTATATATATATATCTCTGTATTAATTTCCTGGGATCCTCACAAGTTCTGCACATGCTTCAAGTAATCTCCACTGTAACTACGCGCCAGAAGCCAGCTTCCTGTATAGAGTCCATCCGTCTCGTGTTCGTACTTGGCCCGGAGCACAGCTCCAGCATTCTCTTTACCCTCCTTATCCGCCAAAGTCTTGAGATAAAAGTCTGCAGGATTGCAGTTCAGCGGGAGTTCATAGCCCAAGCTGTCAAAGGAAAACAAGAACTTGTATAAAAGAATGCTCCTGGTATCCTAGAAGAAAACTTACTCTGTAAAAAACTTGGCTGCCTGCTCCGTGCGTCCTTGGTACACGATCCTTCCACCATCCATCAGTATAATGTGTGTAAAAAGCTCGAATATATCCGACGTGGGCTGATGGATGGAACAGATGGCCGCCTTCTTGTGCGTTCCATTGGGACTATTGTTCAAGATGCCCAGGGTGGGCAGTTCTCGCATCGTCTGCAGCAAACTCTCATGGGATTGACCCACCACTTCCATCTCAATGGACTTGCTACCACTACCACTGGCACTGCTCTCGCCACTCGTCGTCTCAAAGGAATCCTCGCCATAGACCTGGTTCAAGGAGTGCTTGGCTATCCGTCTCCTGGTGCACAAATGCCTCAGTGTCTTAATCACCGAATAGGCACTGAAGCTGTCCAGTCCCGTGGTGGGTTCATCGCAAAACAGAAAGATTGGATCGGTTATTAGCTCCTCGGCCAGGCTCAGTCGCTTTCTCTCTCCGCCAGACAACTGCTGGATGCGGGTGTGAGCCGAGTCCCGTAAACCCACAGCCAGAAGGAGATCCGCTACCCTCTGGCGCTTCTCCGACTTGGTGGTGCGTCGATGCATCTTAAAGTGAGACTGTGTAAGCAAAGGATATACAATTAATCCCATTATATATGTAAGATATTTTCTTAGCAGGAACCCACCATAAAATACAGATGCTCGTAGGCCGTAAACGTCTTCACGTTGATCTCGAACTGTGGCAGAAAGCTGGAGATGCGCGTCATCTGATTCCGTTCCATGGCCATACCATTCAAAACCACATCCCCGGTCAGGTTACCGCGCAGCCGTTGCGAAATAGCCGCCAGCAACGTGGTCTTACCAGCTCCGGATCCGCCCAAGATGGCGATGAGGTCGCCGGTCTTCATGTGCCCGCTGGCTGGAAAACACAAGTCGAATGGCAACCGCAAGTTAGTCTCATTCCCACATGGCCCTACCACATCCCCATCCGGAGCATTGACTCACCGTCTTGAAGGATACACAGCTCCCGTTTCTTGCGGCACTCATTCCAGAAGCTGTAGTTGCTCTGCTCCTGAGCAGGCACATAGTAGTTAAGCTGCTTCCACTCCAGGCACAGGGAGGGGCCTCCCTGGCTAGAGCTACCAGATTCCTGCATGGCACTTGGCCGGTTCAATCACCTCTTTGAAGAATTTTTTTGGTATTCAAGCTGTGTTTGATTTTCCGCTAATCCCCGAGCCAACTTATCGCCTCCAGAACGGAGGCAGGCGGCAGGTGGAAGGTGGCTTATCTTATCTGACGTTACTCCGACGCCGCCTACAATGTATTTGCATACATATCAGCCTGGGGAAGCCTTAAAAATCTGTCCCGGACAGATGACGACTGTTCGCGCTGAAGACCGACCGGCAACTGGGCAACGTCGATGCCAGCGACATGGTTTTCTACCCCCAATGGAGCTCTCCCTCTACACCCATTGCGCCTCCCTCCAAGTAACATTAAACTTTTGACCGCATTTGGGTTTGCCGGCTAATTGTCGCTTATCAATTCACATAGTCAAACGGCGGCAGTTCAGCGGTGTCGGCCAAAGAGAGGCGCTCGTTGACGAGATGTCGCTGTTGCTGTTGCTGTTGCTGTGGCTCTTGCTCCGCTTTGCGGTTACCTCTTCGACAGCAGAGACGCACATGGCCCACGACCATGCGGAGAATGGTGAATACGTCCAGCAGCATATTATAGATGATCACGTGGCCCATCTCCACCAGACCCATCAAGCTGACGCCCACAAAAAGGGCCAGGACACCGCCAAAGGATACTGGTTTAGAAGAGATAATTAAATCTATTGGAGTATAAAGTTTCTGAGAGGTAAGACACACCCACTAAATCCTCAAAGCTGTAGACCACATCGCGTCGCATGCGAACCTTGGGAGGAATCAAATCCCAACGAAAACTGGAGGTAGCTGTCTCACTGCTGGTCACCTCCTCGTTGTTTTTCACACCCCAGGAGCTCTTCTTCACCGTCTGCATGGTGTATTCGATCTCCGTGCAGGTGGAGGGACACTTGCAGATGTGCAAAGCCCAGATGGGCCACTTGAAATCCAGGAGACACTCAAAGCCAGCAGGATTACAGCTGGGTCCCTCCACATAGGGATAAAAGAAGGGCACACAGTTGCACATCTCCAGAGCCATGACAGCACGGCATCGGGCCAAGCACAAGGATTTGCTGTAGATCTGTATAAAATATATAATTTTCTATATTAATGAATAGAAAAAGGAGATAAAAAATGTTACTACGCTTTTGAGATCACAGTGAGTAGTTTTTCCCATTAAAAATAAATGAGATCCTAAAGATAAAGATAACATTTTCTTTTCCAGGCAAGATGCATTTGAGTTTCTGTCTGGAAACTGAGTTCCCTGCACTGATATGACTTATCAGGTGTGGTTTTTTTTTTGTTTTACTTAAAACATTTGTCATTTGTTTATTTGCCGAACCGAAACGCAGGGCATCGCCTCCAACACCAGAGTGCATCTTGGCCAGATAAGACCAGAGTATAGATACCTTCAGATTGGAAGTCTCCTCGTTGTTGAACACACACTTGCGCTGCGCCACACTCAGCTTGCGTAGGTTCTTCGATGCTCTGGAGATTATGGAATACATAATTAAATCCCTTCTTGTCTGGAGAGGATGGGGTATAACCCGGTCTACTTACACCGTTTCCAGCACCTTGAACGAGGCAGTTATCTCATCCGACTTGTGCAGCGCCACAATGTTCGCCTCTGTGGCGGATACCTCAAATGGCGAGTGGACGTCCAGCTGCAAGGTTGATTCGTTTTGGATTTGATTCAGGTTTTAAATGGTGATCATTGTCTATAGCTTACCACACCCGTGCTTTCGTACAGATCCATCCGTATATAGCACTGCTGTTTGCCATACTGACAGGACAAGGGCTGCGGCATCAGCTCATAGGCCACGGGTCTAGGAAGGATGAAGGATGTAATAGTAAGCCTTACTAGAAGCCAACCTCTACTTACTGCCCGCTCAGAACCGTGGACATGGGGGAGTTAATGGCATAGCAGGAACCCCGCTCCGTCATCACCATCTGCACGTGAACCTCGAAATTGGAATCAAAGCTACTGATGACCTGCTCGAAGGGTCTGTCCACCCGCTGGATCATCTCGTACAAATCAATCTGATCGAAACGCTCGTCCTCCGCGAACTTGGCCAATTCCGCATAGTTGCCAGCAGTGGCATTGACCACTGCGTATAGGAAATCCATGAAATAGAAGTAATCCTCATCAATAATGGACACGTTCCACACTTCCTGTATGTACTCGTTTGCCTTGAAGGAATCAATGTGATCATAGTAGCACAGGGTGACCGCCGGCAAGGATCCATTCCAGCCACGATAATCCCGATCCACAGAGATCACCGTGGGCGAGCTGAAGTAACGATCCAGTTGGAAGCGACTCAGCAGCAAAGCAGTGATCACACTGCTTATCACTATGCCCAGCCAGAAGAGGCGTTCCAGGAAATGAATCCTTCGATTCACACACAAACTTATGGCCAGAAGTCCCGTCTCAGCGCCAGCTTCGGCCACCACATCTCTCAGACGGCCGGCGTAGCTCCTGCAACCAGCCAGGAATAGCCGGATGAAGGCCAAAACTCCTCTAAGGATCCTAACTGAGATGCCTCTAAGCCAGAGCCACAGTCGTCGTCTGTCCATTTTAAGGAAATGAATTGGAAAGGCCTGCAGGTCAGTGCTTTTATTTTGAGGTACCATTCCTAAAAGCCCATCATAAATAGAATAATGTATCGGGAAACAAAGGAACAAAGGGTTATTGTATTTTATGTTTGATCTAATACAAGCTGGTTATATAGTATATATTCTTATATATAAAGCCAATTAGATTTGTTGAGAGCCACACCCATTAGCGATTTATTGCCCAGTCCGATTTGTATGAGGAAAATGACAATGGCCATCAGCACACCAAAAAACTGTCCACAAACAAAGGAAGATACTTTAATTGTACCCATAAAGGGTAGGTTAAAGAGTTAATTGGTTGACCCCCCACAGCGACTTACCCCACCCAAGGCCAGCGTATCCAATGGCACTATTCCACAAGCCTGCAGAGGTTGAGCCAAACTATTCTGGAGTTGCAGGAGAAATCGATTAATAGTACGTTCTAGGTGAGAACTACACACCTCCAGTTCGTTGATTAAACGAAAAAGCTGGCATTTCTGCAAAAAATATATTAACTTTCAAATATAAATTATTTTCAAACAGAAAATCTCATCCATACCTTCTCCAAGATCTTTTCGTTAATTGCCATAATGAACCAAATGCGTCCTCCATGCATGAGTAACCAGAGCAAGCGATAGATGAGCAGCATACTCTCGTCCAGCTGGGGATTCTCAAAGAAATTGAAAACCAGATAGACCTCCACACATAAACTAGCCAAAGAGTTGGCCAAATTCAAGAGCAGGAAGATTCCAAACCGGGACAAGAGTTTCCTGTGAAGCAGATCCAAGTGGTTACAAGTGGAGCACATCTCCTCCAGCAGTACTGAGTAAGCACCTCCAGCATCCACTAAAACGGCAAAGGCGGACTCATATTTCGCATCCAATTTGGTTATTCCCCCTGGTGGTCTCTGCTGCCATTTAATGTCTTCCAATCCCTTCCTAATCTCATCCAAAAGGAGCCACAGAGAGTGTAAGGGGAGAGCGTACTGGAGCAATCCCAGACTCATTATCAAGCCGGGAAGATTATATATACTATTACTGATCCAGGTGGTCCAAAACTCAAATTTACACGTGATAATGTCCACAACTGCACAGAGTCCGTGGAAAATGATAGAGGTTACGATCAACTGAAGAGTCCTTTGATCCTGTCTCTTGTATATAAGTTTAACTGCCTTGGCATCTAGTCTATTGATCTGTCGATTAATCTCAAATTCCACTTCTTGGAGACAAGAACTATTCACTATAGCATAATATGCCAGGAAACCAATTACGGACATATTGCCAGGGAACTCCAGCAAATACAGTATCTTCTCAATTGTCGCTATCTCGCCCTTGAACTCCACACATCTTCTGATGCTGTTGGTCCAGATGTATATGAGTAACAACAGGCACCACAAGGAATGGATCCACCGAAGGATTCCCCTTTTGCCGCTGGGGTATATACCCAGGACTCTGTTGATGGTCAGCAGGTAATCCAAAGTGTTCATCTTTAAGGGGTTTTTACTAATGAGGGACAACTGATATGCTGTATTAAGTTTAATTGATTTGATTAATGGCTGTGACCTGGAGGACTTGACAGGCATAAATGATGGTGAACCCACAAAGGTTAAGCTCATTCCTCATCATGTGGAGCTTGAGAAAAGTACCACCAAAGCGTCTTAAGCTCAGACCTTTGTTAAAGGAAAGGTAAGATGTGATATCTTTAGAAATATTCAAGTAAAAAAGATCCTCTTTCTCCACAGACCACCTTCATATCATCAGCAGTATGTCGAGAGATACCAACAGCTTCATAGAAACATTCAGTGGCTTGTAATCATCTCCATCTTGGCCAACACCGCACCCATATCTCTTCTGCCAGGCTGTCCTAATAGATTCTATAGATTGCTTCATCTCTGTTGGATGATCCTTTGGTATGGCTGCTTTGCCGTGGCCTCATACTGGGAATTCATGCACAACACCATCCGAAGAGCTTCCCTGGATCGCTATTTGAATGCCATAGAATCTGTAGTGTATATAATCCATATCTTTGTCATCATGCTCTTTACATGGCACTGGAGAAACTGGATACCAAAAGTGTTCAAAGAGTTTGTAAAATCCGATTTGGAGAGAGGCTATACCATTAATCGCAATAGAAGTCGGCGGTTTGTTGCACTGCAATTGCTTCTGGTTGGACTTTTCACCTCCTTCGCCTTTATCTTAGCTTTGTGGAGCCAAAAATTTGAGATCTATAAGTCGATCCTGAATATCATATGTTATGTGATGCCAAATATCATCAGCAGCTTATCCTTTATTCAGTACTACCTTCTCCTTCAAGGTATTGCCTGGCGGCAGGGGAAGGTCACCGAAAACCTGGAGCGGGAGTTATTCAACTTGATAAATCCTCGCAAATCAGAGATTCAGAAATTCCGTCTCCACCACGCTGAATTGATGTACTTCACCTGGCTGGTGAATCGAACTTTTCAATGGTCTATTGTACTCCTTTTCGTGGGTTGTTTCTTAAACTTTAACTTGGTATTATTTTTGGTGTACCAGGGAGTAGAGAATCCGGATGTGGGCGACTGGTCCAAGTGGCTTTATATGCTCCTCTGGCTGGCCATGCACTTGGGTAAGGTGTTTAGTATCCTTTACTTTAACCAAAAGGTTCAGGATGAGGTGAGTATTATTGTTTATTTTCTCTGCATATTTATGTATAAGTTACCTTACAGCAATCCAGATGTTTGGGCATAGTAAATGGCGTGTCCTTTTCAGAATGTGATCTTCAGGAGACCATCAACCACTTTGCTCTGCAGTTGAAAACGGATGTGAGACAGCATGTAGTGGGAGGTCTCATGGAATTAAATTTAAAGTTCCTGACAGCTGTAAGATGGCTTAAATTTATTTATAAGTACTTAAATATTTAAAATGTTTTTATTTTCAGTTGCTAGTGGCCTCTGCAGACTTTTTTATCTTCCTGCTGCAATATGATGTCACCTACGAGGCTTTATCTAAATCGGCTAAGGGAAATGTTACCAAAACCTAAGGGAATGTTTATAATTTAACAAACTTTTTTTCTGATAATCTTGAAGAAATTATGTTTAACAAGAAAGGAAGTTAACTTCGGCACGCCGAAGTTTATATACCATTGCAGATAGAACTTCTATGACTACGAATCCCTAAAATATAAATTATATATATTTTTGATTAAAAACAATGAAGTAACACCTGTTTTCATTTCATTCACCTAAACATATTTATATTTGCAGTTCACAGATTTGCATTTTTCCTCTACATCAAACGATCGTTTGTATGGCACAGTCGTCCGATTTTCATGAAATTTTACACAAAATTTAAGACTAATATAAAATGGCTATACCTCAAACTTGATGAAAATCTGTTGAAAACTGAAAATGTTATAATTTTTTTTGTAAAAATTTTCCGGTCATTCCAATGGCAGCTATATGATATAGTCGTCCGTTCCGACATATATACGAGTGAGAGTATATAGAAGGCTAACTACAAAGTTTCATTCAGATAGCTTAAAAACTGAGAGACTAGTTTGGGTAGAAACGGACAGATGGACAGACGGACAGACGGGCATGGCTAGATCGAGTCGGCTGTTGATCCTGATCAAGAATATATATACTTTATATAGTCGGAGGTGCCTCTTTCACTGCGTTGCAAACTTCTGACTGAAATTATAATATCCTGCAAGGGTATAAAAAAAAAGAAAAGGAAACAAACAAGGAAAAAAAATCCTAAATAGGCTTATATTAGCAAGCTTAAAATCCTTATTTTTTGAGCGGGTTTTTGTGTGAAGAATTAATTTTGCAAAAATTATATACAAGCATTGCTTGAAATATGTTAACTTTCTGTTATTTAAAAGCACACCAATTCTTATAAATTTGCTTTACAAATATAGATAAACTTATTTTAATAAATATTTTATATTGAGCAGTTTCGATCATCACCATTGTTGTGTTCTTTGTTTAGTAAGTTGTGCTGAATAAACTATTTTCGGGAGTTAAGTATACTTTACTATAAACAAATAAATGACACCATATCCCCGCTCGTCATGATCATCACGGCTCTTAAAGAGAGCTTGGAAGACTTTTCGAGATCAATAATAAGCTAGTCAACACGGCCAAGGGTATGATAATTAAAAAATAATTTAATATAAACCATATTTTCATGTATCTTGACTTTTTTGGGCCTTGTTTTGGTTTCAATTATCAAGAGATTATTTATTAACGTCTTACCTTAATTAAGAAAACTATGATTTTTATGATTGCCACATCCACTTGATCAAAGTCTACCAACCACCAAGCACTAGATTAGTAATTTATATAAAAAACACACAAAAAGAAGAAGAAAACTAAACTTCGTCTAGCTAGGGCCTTGCTTAAGTATAAGACTTGAGAATCGCAGAGGAGAGCGCTCTATGTACCAAATAGTTAAACAAAGCCTATCTTTCAGTCGAAAGCTTGAAACTTAGTGATGGAGTCATTTCCGATCCTATTATTCATATATATTCTTGATCAGCATCAACAGCCGACTCGCTCTAGCCATGTTTGCCACATCCACTTGATCAAAGTCTATCAACCACCAAGCACTAAATTAGTAATTTATATAAAAGAAGAAGAAGAAAACTAAAATTCCTCTAGCTAGAGCCTTGCTTAAGTGTAAGACTTGAGAATCGCAGAGGAGAGCGCTCTATGTACCAAATAGTTAAACAAAGCCTATCTTTCAGTCGAAAGCTTGAAACTTAGTGATGGAGTCATTTCCGATCCTATTATGCATATATATTCTTGATCAGCATCAACAGCCGAATCGATCTAGCCAGGTCCGGCATAAATTTAATTTTTTCAAATTTTTTGACAATTTTAAATTTTTATAAGGGGTATCTTTAAAATGGTGAAAAATTGACGAAAATTTGAATTATTTTAATTTTTAAATTGAGTATGCAGATTTGTTACCCTAATAAAAACTGAAATTAATGCATTTTTGGCTTAGTTATGATATATTTAATATTTGACCTCTTAATACTTAGCTAACTTGAAAGGTATTAAGAAAATTATTCATGTTTTTTTTTTGTACATAAAAAAGGTTTTTAATATATGATTAGTGTACTTACCTTGAACTTCTATGAGTAGGAATTCCTACAATATAAATTATATATATTTATGATTAAAAACAATGAAGTAACACCTGTTTTTATTTCATTTACCTAAATATATTATATTTGCAGTTCACAGATTTGCATTTTTCCTCTACATCAAACGATCGTTTGTATGGCACAGTCGTCCGATTTTCATGAAATTTTACACAAAATTTAAGACTAATATAAAATGGCTACACCTCAAACTTGATGATGATCTGTTTAAAACTGAAATAGTTGTAATTTTTAATTGTATTAATTTCTCGATCGTTCCTATGGGAGCTATATGATATAGTAGTTCGATTTTCATTAAATTTTACACAGAATTGTAGAGTATAATAAAATGGCTATATCTCAAATTTGATAAAAATCTGCTGAAAACTGAAAATGTTATAATTTTTTTTTGGAAAAATTTTCCGATCATTCCTATGACAGCTATATGATATAGTCGTCCGATCTGGCCCGTTCCGACATATATATGAGTGAGAGTATATAGAAGGCTAACTACAAAGTTTCATTAAGATAGCTTTAAAACTGAGAGACTAGTTTGCGTAGAAACGGACAGACGGACAGAAGGACAGACGGACAGACGGACATGGCTAGATCGACTCGGCTGTTGATCCTGATCAAGAATATATATATACTTTATATGGTCGGAGGTGCCTCCTTCACTGCGTTGCAAACTTCTGACTGAAATTATAATACCCTGCAAGAGTATAAAAATGTATCAATTTAAGAATTGAGAAAAAATATTTTAATAAATTTAAAAAATGTTAATAGCAAACTTTAACACTTATTTTAATTTTTTTTTCATACCCTTGCAGGTTATTTTAATTTCAGTCAGAAGCTTGTAACTTGTGAAGAAGTCATTTCCGACCCCATAAATCATATATATTCTTGATCAGCATTAAAATTCCAGTCGATTTAAATTTATTTTAAAGAAAATAATTTTTTTCCATTTTTTTTTATTTTGTCAAGGAAATTAAGTGTTTAAAAATATAAAAAATTGGGAAAAATGAAAATTTTCAAAAACTTATATTTTGGTATGCAAATTTATAAACCACATAAACACTAACTCAGATCCGCTTTTGGAATTTAAATAAATGCTTTTTTGACATAATTATGAGATTTTCAAACTTTAATTTTTTTGTAAAAATTGTCATATAAATATATAGATAAATATCGATTCAAAGAGTGGTATTATAATTTCGGTCAGAAGCTTGTAACTTGTAAAGGAGTCATTTCCGACCACATAAATCATATATATTCTTGATCAGCATTAAAATTCCAGTCGATCTAAATTTATTTTAAAGGAAAATTTTTTTTTCAATTTTTTTTTTAATTTTGTCATGAAAAATAAGTGTTTAAAATTATAAAAAATTGGGAAAAATTTATATTTAAAAAAACGTATATTTTGGTATGCAAATTTATAAACCACATTAAAACTAACACAGAACCGCTTTCCGAATTCCAATTAATTTAATTTTTGTAAAAATGGTCTTATAAATATACACATAGGATGATAAATTAAAATGGTATTATAATTTCAGTCAGAAGCTAAAAAAGCAGTGAAGTAGTCACTTCCGACCCTATAAATCATATATATTCTTGATCAGCATCAACAGCTGAGTCGATCTAGCCATGTCTGGAGAAAAATATTTTTTTGTCGGAATTTTTCAAAATTTTATAAAATTGTCAAAAAATTTAAATTTTTTAATATTTTAAATTGAGTATGCAGATTTATAAACCCAATAAAAACGAACATAGGAAAGTTTGTCGAATTGAAATTAATGATTTTTTGGCTTAGTTATGAGTTTTTTAAACTTTGATTTGTCGAAATATTGATTTTTGAAATATTGCGCCCTATTATTCGATAAAAAGCCTATCGAAATCTACCAGATTAGCTTCGCGCAGACTGGCTTGCTTTAGCTTTTCCGATAAGCTTATTTGAGAAGAGTTGGCAGCACTAACTGGATACCTTTTGTTGTTTTTTTTTGCACGCAAAATAAACTTTAATTATTAACCATGTGCGACGTTGCAACTGTGCAGAAGATTGCCCATTGCCTGGGCGTGAATCCCGGCAAGGTGCAGCTCAACGAGGAACAGGTAAGTACCTTGGCATTAACCCCCAAAATTGAATGGTTCTCATGGTCACCGCACTTCAATTTATTTTCTGTTGCGAAGGTCGTAACCCGCATCAGTGGCCAGAAAAGCAGCGTGGCGGGATTTGCCACCATCCTCGAGAGCCTGGCCCAGGAATCCAAGTCGGAAACGGCACAGAACAGCAAGGCATCGCGTGAGGTGGAGGCACAGGTTTACCAGTGGATAGAGTTCTCCGTTCTCTACGTGGCGCCCGGCTCCAAGGACAAGTACGTGTCCAAGCAACTTTTGGCTGATTTCAACAAGCTCTTTGCCAGCAAATCCTATTTGGTGGGCCACTTCATCACGCTGGCAGATCTGGCGGTGTACTACGCCATCTACGATCTTGTGGTGAGCTCTTAAGCATTTTAAGAACGAAGTTTGGATTGTAGTATCACTTCTCTCTCCTCTCTTCTTCCAGAAATCCCTCTCTCCTGTCGACAAAGAAGCCTACCTGAACCTCTCTCGATGGTTCGATCATCTACAGAACCGACCAGACATCCATCAGGGCGAACCGCTGCTTAACTTCACCACAATCTACCTCCACGGCTGGGCAACAGGCACGCACATCTAAGTCACTTCTCGTATCTCCTATCCACAACGTCACAAGCGGAGACACTTAAGTTATTTATTTCTATTGCATTTCTCACAATGTAGTTTTTGTGTGTGTGATTATCATTTAATGCCAATGAGAGTTCAGCGTTGGAATATGAAATATTATTACGAGTTGTTCTCTTCTTGATAATCGGATCTCAGCCGTAGTAGCTCCGAATCACGTGCCCTTGCAGCACTGGCAGCGGCTTGGGGCGTGTAGCAGCGACTCCTGCTCCGCCAACATCAGTTCGCTTGAACTTCGCGTGGCGAGCTAAGAGAGTTGCCCATATCCGAGGGCTCCGTGCACTTCCACAGGCCGTAGGTTTTGCCCACAGTCGTCTGCCAAAGGCGCAGAGTGCCGTCCTCGGAGCCGCTGGCATACAATTCGCCATCGGGGCTGAATTTCACGCTGTGCACGGGTCCAAAGTGGCCCTTAAAGGATTCTGTTAGACAATAAAGGCATTAGTTTTAAGGTTCCTCATCGCTAGAGCTATATCCTTACCAATTTCGTTTCCTGTTATGTAATCAAACTTGTACATCTTAAAGTCTTCGCCGCCGCACACAAAGACATGCTTGTCCGGATGCAAACTGGCCGACGAGACGTTCGTCGGCACTTTCACCTCCTTGAGCTTCTTCAGCGTGTCGATCTCCCAGAAGCTAATGGACGAACCATGCGCTATGGTCAGGATGTGATTATCCCGCGAGATTTCCAAGCTATTGGGATTGCTGGGGAACTGTAGACGCTGCACCTCGATGCCCGTCATTCGATCCCACAAGCGCACCGTCTTATCCTCGGCCGCCGAAATGATGCACTTGTCGCCGCGACAGAAGAGCGCACGCTTAATGGCTCCCGTGTGTCCCGCGTACTCCTCCGGCTGTGCCTCCGGTTGCTCCAGATTGAAGACCCTCACCAGCTTCTCGTTGCTGCCCGTGACTATGTTCTCGGAGTCCGCATCGAAGGCCACGCTCTTGACAATATGCTTGTGCTGGAAGCTGTGGATCTCGGCTCCGCTCACCGCATTCCACACCTTGCCGGTGAAGTCGGCCGCCCCAGAGGCTGCTAGGGTGGCGTTTCGGTTAAGGGTGGCATTCCATACGGCGCCCTTGTGTCCCTCGAAGGTGCCCACCCAATCGCCAGTATCGCCATGCCGCAGCATAGGGCTACCATCTGCAAAGAGAGAACAGAAGTGTCAGTTAGTTGGCTTTGTGGTTGTGTCGTGGGGAATATGCATTCACTCGGCGCACTGGCGGAGAGCGTGCGTGCATAAATTAACGAACGGAAGCCACCTTGACTCAATGCCTGCCGCCAAGGCCAACGACCTGGCCAACGACGCTCGCAATCATGCAAGCAAGCGAGTGAGCGAGCTTCCCAAGTTCACGTCACTTCCACTGCATCCGATCGGGTGGAGCAGGGTAACAGGGTAGCAGAGGGGCAACTGCAGTACGCCGTCTGGCAGGGACGCGACTTGTTAGTTCGATCAGATCGACATGAATTGGAAATGTAAGTGGTTATCAGTTTGCGATTAAATATATATTTTTAATGAGATGATAAACTGACATTTAACATTACACATTTTCACTCGTGTTTTTAGAGTTTATGGAAGGATGTTCAGGTTATTTAAGGGTTCTTTTAAGAAGTAGAGTAAGGTCACAACAGACATTGATGGTTCAAAGTTCCAGGTAGTTAAAAGAACACTAATTAAATACAGATCAAAATAAATTCTAATAGAATTTTGTATAGAAAACTCTTTAAAAATAAGATTTCCAATGAGATCAGGATTTCCTCAAGAGTATAGTGATGCTAGGTATAACGAAAACTAAATTTCAACCCTTTCAAGATCAATTGAAAGCGTATTCTCTGACCAGACAGCCTCCTCCCCACAGATGACTTTCCTCGCCCGACAGCAGCTGCTGCCTGCATATTTACAGCATATAAATATAGAAGTTTCAAGGTGCTTCCTGGATCCGAAAGCGAGCACAAACAAAAAAAGTTGCTCAACAAGGGGAAGCCAGTAACGTTAAAAAGGCGATAACGAATTTAACTTGAACTTGCAATGGCAACTCGAACGCTCTTTCCGCATAAATGCAACATTTAGCGAAAGCAACAAATGCAAAGCACAAAGCACACTCACACAGGTATCGGGTATATATAATGGCTATAGTAATCGCATCGACTAGCTGACACCTCAAGGCAAAGAACGCGAAGCGAAATTTGTAGCATGCGAGTGGCGGGAAAAGGGTTCGCAGCAAACAGGTTTCGCTCGCAATGAATGACTTTGCATTTGGGTCAAGGTAATATGCGCAGGCTAGACGGAGCTAAATCGTGTTTGTTGTTCGCCATATAGTACATATGTTTATGTTCGATCGCTTATGTGCTGATGCAGCATCTTTTTCAAGAAACAACAATTTATAAGACAGAAAGTCGGCATCATTACTAACTTCAATACATTTTTAAGATTAGTTCTGAAAGCAGTACAGTTTTCCTAATCATACGTATCAATAAAAAAAATAAACTATTGAAAACTACATTTTGTTGGGGTTAAAAAAAAAACAGACAATAATCTTTGGGATGCTTAAAATACGAATAAAACAAGTGACATTCTATACATACTTGTGGTTGACAAAAATATAAATTAAAATATTCATTTATATAAACCTATAAACTTTTAAAATCGTTTAAAAAAAAATTGATACCGGGAATAATAACTTTTTGTCTCAAATTAAAAGCACCCCAACCACTGTGCGGCGGCGGACAATGACTATTTATAGCTCGGCAAGGACGCCAAATTGCATGAGATTTTTTGCACGACTTTTACCTTTGCACGCCGAGATGAGAAAGTAACCGCTGTCGACGATGTCGCTAAAGTCCAGGTGAACCACGGGTCGCGTGTGTCCGCTGCAGGTGAGCGGAATCTGTCGCAAGTTGTTGGCAGCCATTGTAGCGAGTCTCTGTTGCTTTCCTATTACTGTTCCTGTAGAATCCTTTTGTGTATTCCTTTTCCGCTGTAATACTTGGTCGTATTGTCTACTGAGAATGCTGCAAACTTTGCACTTAATGGATAAGAGCGGTTTTTCCGGGGGATTGATGATTTTGCTTTGTACTTCGATTGCTGGTTTCGTCTAATTAACAACGCTTCACTGTGTTCTACGATTCTCCCGTTCCTTGCTGATAGTCGCGTTAGTGTATGCTGGTGCTTCTCCACGCCAGAGTGTATTTACAATTTGATTTATTCTGTTTTATTTATCAACAAGAGGGAAAATAATTACGCGACACGTTGTTGTTGGTGGACTCGTAAACAGTGTTACCAGCTTGCCTTACTTCGGCTAGATCTCACTTCCCTATCGATAGCGGTGGTCGCGTGAGGCGATTGTTGCTAGAGGTGGGGCTCCGTATGTGAACTGTGACTGCATCGCTGGAACTACGTTCCAAGCGGTCTCAAGGCTAAATTAAAGTACATTATTATTTTAAATTTCATTTAATTTTATCTGTTATCGACACTTGCTTGTTTATTTGTTTTTTAAGTATTGGTTGAAGTCGAAGCGATATAATAATATATTTCAAGATATTAACAGATTATAAAGAACTTAACTATCTTCGAAAAGCTGAAATTAAACCTTTGCAGTTTTCAACCTAATTGTAGAATCGAAGTAGAAATAAATAAAAACTAGGATTAAAATATTCACATTCTTTAAATAGATATTTATCAATATTTTTATATAACTTATTTAACAAATCAAAGTTTAAAAAACTTAAAACAATCCGAAAAATTATTAATTTGAATTCGGAAACTTTTCTATATTAGTTTTTATTAGGTTAATAAATCTACATGCTCAATTTAAATTAAAAAAAGTATTTATTTATTATTATTATTATTTATATAGCCGGATATGACCATCATTAAAAAGATTTGAAATATGTCTATTAGGACTTCAGGGACTTTAGACTGTTATTTTTATATATATTTTTTTTATTGGAAAATTACTCTTTTCCAAATATCATGAGTAAGCCAAAAATGCATTAAATTTGATTCGGAAAGCTTTTCCCATGTCACTTTATGTTTGGTTAATAAATCATCATACTCAGTTTAAAATTTAAAGTTTTAAAAAATTTTTATGTTTTTTTTTGACAATTTTAGCTATGTAACCCTTTAGAAAATGTTGAAAAAATTAAAAAGAATATATATGATTTATAGGGTCGGAAATGACTCCTTCATCTAGAAGACCTAAAATATGTCTATTATAGGGACTTTAGACCAATATATTTATATAATATATCTTTTTGGAAAAATTACACTTATTCAAATATCCCAACTAAGGCAAAAATGCATTGATTTCAATTCGGATTTCAATTCTATGCTAAAAAATGGACATACATATATAAAACTATATGTAGCATTAGCTTTAATGAAAATTAATAACAGTACGTTAGCTTTACTGAAAATATAATACTTTAAGAGGATAAACTAATAGCACCAAATTGTTTATTTATTTTACGATCTTGGTCCCCTTGCTAAAAGTCACCGTACAAATCACGAAATATCGGTATATATCGCTTGGCTGGCTCACCCCTATTGAACTGTCAAAATACTTAATTTTCATTCGGGGCTTGGAATCGATGAAAATAATGTCTGCTATCCTAAATCACGCAATTCGTCGCCAATTTGGCGCTACTGCCGCCAGGAATATGTCCGGAACCGCCGCCACCGCCGGCGAGCACTCCGGTAAGTGTCCTTTTTGGAGCCCCATAGCCCCATTGCCCGGATTTTGTAAGGTTAAGGTTATGTAATTTGGGCTGTTGGGCAAGAATCCTCTGGCAACATTTCTCTAACGTTTTGTTTTCCTTGCAGGTGGCTACAAGGTGTGGAAGCGCCTGTCTTTCTTCGTGGCCGTTCCCGCCGTTGGTCTGTGCATGCTGAACGCCTACCTGAAGCACCAGGAGGAGCACGACCATCCCCGCCAGGAGTTCGTCAAGTACGATTATCTGCGTCGCCGTGAGAAGCGCTTCCCTTGGGGCGAGGGCAACAAGAGCCTGTTCCACAACCCCCATGTCAACCCTCTGCCCGATGGCTATGAGCACTAGATGGATGGCCACCCATTCCGTTGAGGGGCTAATGCAGCAGATGTTTGGTAATGGCAGACCCACCCGGGACTCCTGTATGTAATCGTTATTGTATACAAAACTTAAGGCGGAAATACACAGAAACACAAGACACACAAGTGACTCCTCCAGTCGGCGCTTGAATAAAGATCAAAATCAAGTGTAAGTGAAGCACCCAAAGGTGCAGTGATGTGGGAGCCAGTGGTTACATTCGTTTCGGATACATAGCTTATTTAATATGTATGATAAAACATGGTTATAATAATCTCAACTAAGCTCATTTAGGTGACTTTTTGTTCGTAATCTTGCCAGCAATGGTCAGAAAGCGTCCTGCCTTCGTGGGCGGTGACTTTGTGTCTTTCTTGACATTCAGCGCCTTTGGTGATGTCTTCGAATTAGTCCCCTGCTTATCCTGACTGCGAGTCTGTCGCTTTACTTCTGAAGATTCTTTTCCTACTTTGCGCTGCTTTGATGGCGGCGGCGGTGCATAGGAACCATCGCTATCGTCCAAATGATCATCATCCAGAGTATCGTCTTCCAAGTATTCCGTTATGAACTCCTCCTCTGGCTTTATCTCAACCTCTTCGTATTGTTCCTCCAGATCTTCCACCTCGATTCCCTCGGCGCTTTCGGCTTCAATTCCCTCAGCTCCTTCGTTCTGATAGGGCATCATGTCCACCACATGGTCATCCTCAATGTGCATCCGCAGACGCGCCTCGCTCAAGAAGATGTGATCGCAGAACTCGCAGGCAAACCGCTCATTCTTGTGCTGCATCATGTGAGCCTCGACCTCGTCGGCATAGTCGATATTCTCGCGGCACAGCGGACACTTCAAAGTCTCCAGGGCGTGGGTCAGCGAGTGCTCCAGCAGCAGGTCATAGCTGGTATAAGTTTCCTTGCACTCGCTGCACACAAACGAGGCTTCCGAGGCGCTCTGCTTGTGCATGCGCAGATGCCGAGACAGATGATGCGACAGAATGTAAGATTTAGAACAGTATTTGCATGGATAAGCCCTCTTGCCGGCATGGGCAACCAGGTGACGAGCCAACTTGCTAGAAGTGGGGAACGAGCGGTTACAGTGCTGGCAGGGGAAGGGCAGATTGGTCTGGTGGATGACCTAAAAGAGAAGGGGTTTATTATCCATTTAATATGTAATTAACATTTTCGACTTACCTCATGTCGCTCCAACCCCTGCTTGAAGGCAAACGACTTGCTGCAGACGCCACAATGGAAGGGCCGCTTCTTGGTATGACGCTCAGCGTGTGTCTCCATCTCCTGGCGCGAAATGAACGGCTTCTCGCAGAAGACGCATATGAACTTGGGAATATCCGTGTGCGTACGTTCGTGCCGATGAAGCAGGGCCTTTCGAGTGAAGGCCTTGGAACAGACGGTACACTGGAAAGGCCGCTCGCCGGTGTGGACGAAGACGTGCTTCTGCAGATCGTACTTGCTGAAGAAGCTGCGCTCGCAATCCGAGCACTGAAAGCTGCGCTCCCGCTTATGGTTCACCATATGAATGTCGAGCAACTGCTGCAGCGGAAAGGATCGGTCGCAATCGGGACACGGAAACACGTTCGTTGCCACCTTTTCAGCGTTTTTGATCAAATCGTCGGGCGAAATAATCTTGCCGGGCTCCAGAATCTCTGTCACAATGGCCACATTGCCACTCTCGTCCCTCTGAACCTGGGGCGTGGCGATGCGAGGCTCAATGGGAGCAGAGGGTCCCTTGTTCAGGATACGAATCGAAGACTTGTTCAACACCTTGGGCTTGCTGGGTGAGTTCTTCGCCTGTGTCTTCTCTATGTCATCATTTAGCTCATTGGCCATGTCCTCCAGCATACTGTGCACATCGTCCATTGTCAAGTCCTGGTTGTTCTCCACCTTCAGCTCATAGGCCTGGGCTTTGCGTCCCGTTGAAGCGGCATTCTTGTTTAGCAAACTTGTCTCCAGCACCTGGACATTCTCAATGATGGCCTTGTTCGATTTCGCCATGGTGTTGAGCAGTTTCTTGGGCTTGCCTTCGGGCGAATTAACTGGCAACGTGGTGACCTTCTTGGGTGGAGCAGCTGCCTGATTGGCTATCATGGGAGCCCGGGGTTTCTCCAGCGGTGCAGGCCAGTTTCCTGTCAAGGGATATTGGCGGATGAGCGTCTCAGCCCGCTTGCACATCTGCTTGAAGCGGTAGCAGTGCTCGAAGAGGAGCCGGCAGTCCAGACAGATGTATTGAGGCATTCCGTCGCCATCGCAGACCTAAGAATATTTAATTTTAATAAACTTGCAGAAGACTTGTTAAAACGGTTTGGTTTTCCGTTATAGGCCAAATAAGTGTGACCAGTTGCCTTTAAATGAAAAACCCCACACCTTTTCTGGCGTTAAAATCGAAAAATGCGGCAGGCACACTTAGTCTTACTTGGCGGCAAGTGCATACACACCACTACAGATACAATTGTTTTCGTGAACACGCTTAACCTCCGTTAGTTTGATTGATTAAACACGGCGGCTCCATAAAAGGACATTTGTATATTTGTTAATTCAACAAAAGCTGAAATAAACAGCTGTGCTGTGCAAGTTTAGCAAACATTTCGGTAAAAGAACCAAAGATTCCAACTACAAACAAATGCTAAAAGGGCGCAACAGCTAAGTGGAGAAGGAGAATCACAAGAAGAAGGCAGAAAAGAAGGCAGAGCCGAACAAAAGGCAAAGCGGCGGACGCACAAGGAGAAATACAAAACAATCAAAACAAGAGGAGAGACGGAGACCAGACCCTCGGCGGAGGCGAAAAGAGGGACACAAAATGACGGACGAGTGTATAACAAGAAACTACAATGTTCTCAGCATTATAGCTGATAGTATCGATGCCAAGGGCTGTACGGCGGAGCCGCTTGTTGTTGCTGGTGTTGGTGGTGGTGCAATTGCAGCTAGGTAAGTGTCCACGCTCTCTCCGGCATCTTTTTCTCTCTCTTTCTTTGCATGTATGCGTGTGTGTGTGCATGCTGCCCTTCTTATCAGTGTTGTTGTTTTTGTTTCGATACTGGAAAGGGAGTTGCGATGCTGGAAAAGGAGTTTGCCTGGAAATTCCAGTTTCTAAAACGCACTTAAAGAGTTATTTCGGGAAAACCCATTTCTTTTCTGAAGTTCCTTATCGAGCTATGCTTTTGCTTTCCAAAAATTAATTATCTTATCAACACAAAAATATTATTTCCTATTTTTCGATCATTTATTGATCATCAAATTGAATCTTATCTGTTTTGGTAAATACCAAAATTGCCCAAATTATCCCAAAATAATTTCAATAATCGTTGAACATTTTTAAAACTACGTAGTTTATTTTAGATATAAAGAAATAATTATATTCAATGTCTTGGGAGCTTTTACAACCCACTTATCTGTGAAGTTCTCTATAATAACCATAGACATATAAAATATCAAAGAATATAATAAGGTCGCATTTCCGGATATAGTTTTAACGAAAACTATCTTCAATAACAAATTTCTATGTTTTCACATCGAAAAAGTAACGACTGGCAACTGTCTTGATCCTATTAAGTTCCTGTTGATTGTTCATATAGCCCTCTTGAGCTCTTAAAGCCTGCCTTAGTCATAGAAAGAACTGTTAATAATCAATAATAGGATTCCTTTAATTGTTGAAATCGAAAAAGACCCATTTTCTTATCGTGAAAACTACTCTTTTGTTTGATTTTGCTTATGCAAAGACTACAGAAAAACGGTAATTAATCATAGCTTATTTCGGCCAGTGGCCTTATCTTATCTTATCGCTCCGACCAAATGGCTAGCAAATCGAATCTGTTATATGATTTTCTATTGACTTTTTCTGAACTTCAACCCGCAGCGCCGCCGCCGTCTTGCCGGCCAACAAGTTTGTGGCCCGAATGCCCGTGGAGCGATATGCCAGCGAATACAACATGAATCACAAGAACCGTGGCCTGGCTCTGATCTTCAACCATGAATTCTTTGACATACCCACGTTGAAGTCTCGCACCGGCACTAATGTGGATGCCCAAGAGCTTAGCAAGACCTTCGAGAATCTGGGCTTTAAGGTCGCCGTGCACAAGGACTGCAAGCTGCGGGACATTCTCAAGCAGATCGAAAAGGCCGCCGTGCAGGATCACACGGATAACGACTGCCTGGCTGTGGCCATACTGTCGCACGGCGAACACGGATATCTGTACGCCAAGGATACACAGTACAAGCTGGATAATATCTGGCACTACTTCACCGCCGCCTTCTGTCCCACTCTGGCGGGCAAGCCGAAGCTGTTCTTTATCCAGGCCTGCCAGGGCGACCGCTTGGATGGCGGCATGATGCTGGAGAAGAGCGTGACTGAAACGGATGGCGAGTCCTCCATGAGCTACAAAATACCCATACACGCTGACTTTCTCTTCTCCTATTCCACGATTCCGGGTAAGGACCCTAGCCGGCAATTTGTAAAGGAGCTTTTCTAATAGCTTTTGGTTAATTTTCAGGTTACTACTCGTGGCGCAACATCAACAACGGCTCCTGGTATATGCAGTCGCTGATCCAAGAGCTAAACACCAATGGCAAAAAGTACGACTTGCTCACTTTGCTCACCTTCGTCAACCAGCGTGTGGCCATAGACTTTGAGTCGAACGTGCCCGCCACCCCGATAATGGATCGCCAGAAGCAAATACCATGTCTCACCTCCATGCTGACGCGCATACTGCGCTTCAGCGACAAGCCCAACGGCAATAAGGCTGGCTAAATGGACGATCTCTCTCTACCTCAGCTTGAGCGCTCACTCAATGCCCCCGCAATGATCATTTGGATTCCAATTCACTTCAAGTTTAGTTTTTAGACGCTTGCAATTATCCCGAGAGATATGACGAGCTTTATGACCGACTTCTCCTTCATTCCTCATTTCCCCAACACCCCAATTCAGGCCTTATCGTTGACGAAATTCGCTTAACCACTTAAATGTACGACTTGCCCTAATTATAAGAAACACTTGCCCATCAGCAAACCCACAAATTTTAGAGATAAGAGATATAATGAAGATTTATACATACAAGAACATTTACATATTATATATATTTGATATGAACCGAATAAAAATGAAGTATGAATATAAAGTAAAGTAAAGTAGTGTTTAAACAATTGAAAAGAAAATATTCAAATTTATGTTTACATTGTTCTGAATCTTGATAATTACAATATTTATTTACTTTTCTTCCCGCCAAAAAGAGTAGAGAAAAATAATCAACAGCTGACTGATTGCCAGCCCCGAACAGCTGACTCGACAGATGTGTGTGTGTGTGCATGTCCGGGGTACAGTTGTCACGGCTATTGATTGAAATGGGTTTTTCACACAGTTTCCCCTGTGGGAAACTCCGCCGGAAAACTGGCCAACAGGCGAGGACATGGAGGGGAGCCTTTCAGCGGGGTTCCTCTTTGGAAACACGGCCGAGATAAACTTAGCCGAGACGCCAACGCACAGTGGGTTCAAAAACCTCTCTTTGGGCAATGGGTGGTGTTTGTTTTCTTTTTAGTGCAAGTTAGAACCGCCACTTACCTCGATCGCCGTTATGGCCATTATCTGCAGGGGCAGGTTGGCGCTTGTTTTGATGCGCGTGTTTTCCACGAAAATCGAGGTCAGCTTCTGCTCTGACAGGCAGAAGCGGCAGACCTTCTTGACGCCCAGCGACGCCTCGCGAGCACTTTGCGCCATTTCAACAATTGCACCACGACTGATGGTTAATTAATTGATATTTTGTAAACACTGCACACACACGACTTTACTATGGTTTAGAAATAAGAGCAGAGAAAACAATCTGATTCGGCGTCTTTTCTTTTCACGAACCTAGCCAGCGTTGCCGGAAAGTTAGGGCAAGCTCAGAGAGTGGCCAGACTGGCGAGTGAAAGTTATCGATTATCGATAGTTTTTGGTATTTTTAAACTGCTTGCCGCTGGTACTGCTTTAACTTGCCTTAAAAATTTATTTATAAATTTGAAACACTATTCGTCAGAGACTCTTAACCGCGCCTGCGTCTGTTCGCCAATATAATAGATGACATTCTGCTGGAGCAGCTCGTGGGTCTCGTACTTTAGGGACTCCTCGTACGCATACTGAATGCTGGTGTCGTAGAGCATCAACTTGCATTTGGCCAGTGCCAGGATGGAGTTTCTCAGCCGGGCAATCACTTCCCGTTCACTCCGCGGCAAGTGCTCGTTCAGGTTCTGCGCGAATCCTCCCTCGCCGCCCTCCTGCTCTGATGGCTTAGTGGGCGCTATCCAGATATAACCATTGTTGCCAAGGATCACAGAGGCGCCGCAGGGCAGACTGTGGAAATGCATCTTGCGGCGCTTAACGAGGGCGGGGAAGACTTTGACCAGAATGCCCTGCGACAGTTTGCCGTATTTCAAACTGCGTGTATAGAGGGAGAGAGTACCTTCCTCGAAGATGTTCTGGTGAAGAATATCATTATTAATCACAAATCAACAGGGAAGTTTAAAGCTTGAGAAGAACCTGCACTTCCGCCGAGATGAGATCTCCTTCGTCCAGGTATCGTCTCATCATCTGCTCGTCCTCGGCCGATCTCCGCCTCAGCTCGCCACCTGGTAGATTCACCGACGACAGCAGGAGCATGGAATCCAGTCGGGAATTGGTATCCACGCGCCATCGCTTCTGTTGGACTTCAATGACGCGGGCCACCACCACATCCCCGATCTCGCCCACATAGCGACTCTTGAGCGGACGCACTGAAATCAGCTTGTTGACCTTCTCGACCACTCCGGCCACCGATGCCTTGATGTCCTCATCCTCCACGAAGGTGCCGTGGCCGCGCATGAAACCCGCTTCCGGCATCAGCACCTCACCGGGCGTGTAGACTCGCGGCAGGTTCTCGGGGTGGGCGCCCAGGTCTCGCCAGTCCACCCGGTCTAGTGCCAACTCTATCGTTGCCTTTGCGGACATTGCAGAAGGTTAGATTAACGAAAAACTTGTAGTTTAATTGAATTTATAAAATGTAAACAAGCAACAGCTGCCGAAACACGCGTTCAGTTTAAAAGGCAACTGGGCACACTACACAAAAGATTGGCAGCTCACATCTTCAATACCGTGGCGTTGCCACACTCTCATTTTCGCATCAGCTGTTATCTGTTGTGGGTAGTTGTTGCTGCTGCTCCGTGAAAAATTGCGAAGTAATGAAAAACTGAGAAAAACATAGGGAAAATGGACCAACCCGATGACCATTTTCGCTACATACACAGCTCCTCGCTTCACGAACGTGTCCAGATCAAGGTGTAAGTGTTTTCGCGGCGAGAAAAAGACTGGAAAAGCGTTCCGGAGTGTGAAAAACCTTTGTCATTTTCAGTGGCACCCTCGAGGGGAAGAAGCGGCAGCCAGATTATGAAAAGCTCCTGGATGACCCAATCCTACGCTTCTCGGGCCTGTACTCCGAGGAGCACCCCTCGTTCCAGGTGCGCCTGCAGGTGTTCAACCAGGGCAGACCCTACTGCCTGCCCGTGACCAGTTCGTACAAGTCCTTTGGCAAGCGTTGGAGCTGGAACGAGTGGGTGTCGCTGCCGCTGCAGTTCTCCGACTTGCCGCGCAGCGCCATGCTTGTGCTGACCATCTTGGACTGCTCGGGCGCTGGTCAAACGACTGTGATTGGTGGCACCTCCATTTCGGTGTTCGGCAAGGATGGCATGTTCCGCCAAGGGATGTACGATCTGCGAGTCTGGCTGGGTGTTGAGGGTGATGGCAGCTTTCCCAGTAGAACGCCTGGCAAGGGCAAGGAGTCCTCCAAATCCCAGATGCAGCGCCTAGGGAAGCTGGCCAAGAAGCATCGCAACGGACAGGTACAAAAGGTGGACTGGCTGGACAGGCTGACATTCCGTGAGATTGAGGTGATCAACGAGCGGGAGAAGCGCATGTCGGACTACATGTTTCTAATGATTGAGTTTCCTGCAATTGTCGTAGACGATACGTATAATGTGAGTGTGTCTGGAGGATGTGGGAGATGTGGTTAAGATATATAACTACTATTTTATTCTCAGTATGCAGTGGTCTACTTCGAAGCGGAGGGCGATGTCAAATACAAGCTGCCAGCCAAGCCGAAGTTAGTATCCGTGCCGGATTCAGAGATTCAAATGGTAAGGAGCTTGGAGCTTATTTCCAGCTGAATCTGAAGCCACAATTCATTATTTCTTAAAGGAAAACCTGGTGGAGAGAAAGCACCATCGCCTAGCGCGTTCGGAACGCTCTGGAATCTCGGACAGAGATGCCAAGCCCACAGCCAGGTGAAGCTATTTATCTCATCTCAAACAACTTCCTCACTAACACTTCTCTTTTCCCTTAGCATTCGGGATCAGCTCCACACCATTGTGTACAGGTATCCCCCAACGTATGTGCTGAGCAGCGAGGAGCAGGATTTGGTGTGGAAGTTCCGCTTCTATCTCTCCTCGCACAAAAAGGCTCTAACCAAGTTCCTTAAATGTATTAACTGGAAGCTGGAGGATGAGGTTACCCAGGCGCTTTGGATGCTGGCCAACTGGGCGCCCATGGATGTGGAGGATGCTTTGGAGCTACTTAGTCCCACATTTACCCATCCCCAAGTCCGAAAGTATGCAGTTAGTCGCCTGGCTCAAGCTCCCGACGAAGATCTTCTGTTGTATCTGCTTCAACTGGTGCAGGCTCTCAAATACGAAGATCCTCGGCACATTGTTCACCTGCATGGCTGCATCTTTCCCGAACGGGATGTAGTACGCTCCATCTTAGATGACAATGGCTCGCTGTTGGATCAGAGCAGCCTCTCGGATCTGAGTGCTGCCAGCAGTGGTCTCCATGCCTCCGTTATTCCAGCCAATCAGCGAGCAGCCAGTGTCTTGGCTGCCATCAAGAGTGACAAGTCAGTGAGTCCTGGATCCGCAGGCGGCCAGGGGTCTTCGACAGCGCCGGGTCCGTCGACTCCGGCTACACCTGGCGGCAGTTCCTTGCCCTGTGACTCCAATTCCAATGCGTTGATGCTGGCCGAGGGCATTAGCTTTGGCAGTGTTCCGGCCAATCTCTGCACATTCCTCATCCAGCGAGCTTGCACGAATGCCACGCTGGCCAACTACTTCTACTGGTACCTGTCCATCGAGGTGGAGGAGGTGGAATCGGTAAGGAAGCAGGATGAGCGGGCACACGATATGTATGCAATGGTGCTTAAGATGTTCCTCAAGGTCTTGGAGAATGGTGAGTGAAGGAGAGCGAGAAACTACGAAATATTAATGTAATAAACTTCATCTTTATCTTCAGGCAACTTCAATCTTCGCGGCATCTTCTATAATCTCCGCAAGCAGCGTCGCTTTATAGACGAGCTGGTCAAGCTTGTTAAGCTGGTGGCCAAGGAGCCGGGCAATCGCAATAAGAAAACGGAAAAGTTCCAGAAGCTGCTGTCGGAGCAGGACATGTTCAAGGTGAACTTTACCAACTTTGAGCCGATTCCATTTCCCTTGGATCCGGAAATCTACATCACTAAGATTGTGCCCATGCGTACGTCGCTCTTCAAGAGCGCCCTAATGCCAGCCAAGTGAGTTATTCCACCTAATATAAAGAGAATCTCTTCATTATCTTCATTCCTTGAACTCTTTTAGACTCACATTTGTCACATCGATTGCTCAGCACGAGTATGCAGCAATTTTCAAGCATGGCGATGATCTGCGACAGGATCAGCTCATCCTGCAGATGATCACGCTGATGGATAAGCTGCTGCGACGCGAGAACCTGGACTTGAAGTTGACTCCCTACAAGGTGCTGGCCACTAGCTCTAAGCATGGTTTCCTGCAGTATGTGGACTCTTGCACAGTGGCCGAGGTTTTGGCACGCGAAGGTAACATCCACAACTTCTTCCGGAAGCATCATCCCTGCGATAATGGACCGTATGGCATATCGGCGGAGGTTATGGACACATATATCAAGAGCTGTGCTGGCTACTGTGTAATTACGTATTTGCTGGGTGAGTCCTTTCTCTCAAGAAGGAAGTTCCCTTTATAATTACTTTTATTTTCTAGGCGTGGGTGATCGTCACTTGGACAACCTGCTACTGACCACCAATGGCAAGCTCTTCCACATCGATTTCGGCTATATATTGGGCCGTGATCCTAAACCCATGCCGCCGCCCATGAAGCTCAGCAAGGAGATGGTAGAGGCAATGGGTGGCATTAGCTCGGAGCATCATCATGAGTTCCGGAAGCAATGCTATACGGCTTATTTGCATCTGCGACGCCATGCCAATGTGATGCTCAATTTATTCTCGCTAATGGTGGATGCCACCGTGCCGGATATTGCTCTGGAGCCAGATAAGGCGGTGAAGAAGGTGGAGGAGAATCTGCAGCTGGGATTAACGGATGAGGAGGCGGTCCAGCATTTGCAGAGTCTACTGGATGTGAGCATAACGGCCGTAATGCCGGCACTGGTGGAGCAGATCCATCGTTTCACTCAGTACTGGCGGAAGTAATTAGGATTTAGCTTTAGCTTCCCCTTAGACGTAGTAGCCTGTATCCACAAGTCTGTAATCCGGAATTTAAATGTATCTCTGTATCAGCTTTGACTCACTCAAATTTATTTGAGAAAAGCGAAAGCCATGAAGGTGCGTTCCAAGAAGCCCGTTTGGTTCCTGTTCAAGTTGGTGGAGCTGATCTTTAGCCTGCTCTGCTGCGTCATCCATTGGAATTGTTACCATCATCACGGCGTGCCGCATGTCTTCCTGCTGTGCGGGTCCTATGGTGGCTCTATTATTATGGGTCTATTATCAATTTTAAGTTCCTTTTATGCCGAGAAACCGAAGATGAAATATGAGGCAGCGCACTCAGGAGTTCTTGGTATCATTCACTTGGTCACCGTGTTCGCTCACATGTACATGGCCACATTGGAGCAGTTCCAGAAACCGAATTGGGTTGACTTCTTTAACTGCACCCGGGACAATGCCATGTTTGCCCTGACCGCCACCTCCATATACTTTCTGCACTTCACCTTTGCCTTGGACCTGTTGTATTCGCACACCCTCAAAGTGAAGAGGCATCCGGACAGGTGCAAGCGACCGCTTAGCCTCTATTTCATCAGTCCAGGTGTCGAGGCGTATGCGAGTGGTTTCCGCTGGTACCAGCACTTGGCCAGCAGGATGATGACCAGTGACCAGACCTCGGAGCACTCTGCCGGGATCAAGCATATGTCCTATGACTCGGAATCGGATGAAGAGCCGCGACCGTCCGCAACCAAAAGACCAGACGACGGCAGAGTTTCGGGTGTATTTCAAAGGTCTAACGACCTGGGTGTGCCCTCCATGTAAACAAATAATTGTTTAAATTAATTTTGATTGTTTAAAATATAATGGCCCTCTGCCTACCAGTTTTAAAATTCCCGCGGCTTTTTTGAGGCACCCCTGGTCTGCATCAGCTGTTTTGCCGCCAAACAACCCTGTCTCTGTGGGCCCGCGCACTTTGACAGCTGTTCGTTTACAGTTATTCGAAATAGTCAGTGTTGTTTTTTTCTGTGTTGGCTGCAATTGCTACAATTTCTGTGATAAATTTAACCATAAATTCAAGCTCTCCCCGTGGATACCAAAGGAAAACGAACTCCCCAACTTCAATGGCAATGGCGTTGGCAAACAGCGGTGCGGTAAGTCCATTTTCCCCATTGTTCAGATGCATTGCTGGAAATTTCTCGTCTGCAAACTTTTCTGATTTTCATAGTTCGATGCGTGGTGGAGGGAAACTTCTGCCTCTGCGTGTGTGTGTGTGTGTGCCACCGCCTGCCTCTGTGGTTTTAGTTAGTGGCAGGTATTTCGAACCTAAAACTTTTGCTAAAAGTTAGTCTAGCCGGGGCCACTAAAGTTGCCGGCAGACGCAGAACCGCAATGTAAGCGCACGCACACATGCATACATACATATAAACATGGAGACACCCGCAACCGCACAGGCACATACATAAATACGTAGTCCCAGGCGGCCAACTAAGTTTTAGTTGTGCCAAAAAAAAAAAACACACAGTAGGAACTATAACTTAAAGTCGGGCTATTGGAAATCTCAATTCCCTTAATTACAGTGCAACTTCCAATGAGAAGTTTGTAGGCTTGGAAGTGATATTCACTCTCTTTCCTATTTGCTAAGAGAGCCCACTGCATTGAGTAAGAGAGCCGAGTGAGTGAGTCACTCGAACTGCACGCCTTTTGTTATTGTCTGCGGTTTGGTGTGGCTGCCAGCCCCCGCCCACTCTGCTCTCCCCCTCCCCTTGAGCTCCTCCCCCCCCACCCGCCACATTGTCCTTTTGGCTTAAAAGCAGCACGTGTTCATTTTCGTGCAAAGTCACTTGGAATGCCAAGTTGAAGTTATGTGTGCGCCTGTTTTTTTTTTTGTGCATTTTCTTTTATTTTTCTGCAGACAGTATCTATGTATCTGTGTGTGTGTGTGGGTGGGAGTGGGTGTGGGTGTGCGGAAAAGCGTGTGTGCATCTGAAAGATACTACATTTTCTAGATCACAGCATGTTTGGTTTAGTTGGCAGCTAAATTTCACTACGTGCAGTTTGCGGTGGGTGTTAAAAAGTTTTTAGTTTCGCAAAAGATCGGGGAATGCCAACTATGTATGTTCGGCAATAACAAAATCCGCCGGTCGCTGATAGCGATAAAACATCGAGTGAATAAGATTAATTGTTATATGACGAAGAGTAAATTATGAATGTGCATTATCTATTATAACTACAGAGATAACTATCTTTGGAGATGAGAGAACAGAGAGAAGGGCTTACGGGTTTAAGAAAAGATGATTCATTCATATTAGGGGCTTAGTTAACTTGGAAACCAATTTTTTAATTAATATCTGAATCATTTATGGCTTTCTGTTATTTGTATGATTTTTTTTATAAGAAAGAAAAGTTGTATTTTGGGTTCTATAGCATTTTAAATTTAGAACTTCTTTGAAGTTCTAATTTTAAAGAGTTTTTGGATCAGCTCACAGGATAAATTATTTAAAAAAATATTCATAAATTAATAAAAATTATATTTTATTCATTATTAAGTACATTTCATTATAGATTTTTTGATGTAGAACAAAAATGATATAGAAGATTTTAAAGTACTTAAAATTCTAATCCTTAAGAGGAAACCCCCCTAAAGAATCTTAAATCTATTCAAAACCCATTCAACTTTATAATCAATCCCCTTATCCCTTAATAAGTAATATACTGATTTGTCATAATTTTGCAAAATAGAACCAAAATAGCCAAAGCAACCCCTCCCAAAATAGAAATGTACTCCAATTTCTCTTTGTTTTGTAAGCTGATAGTAATTCGAGCTAAAGAAGCTATAGAGGCTAGCACGTTCCATTAATTAGTAATCGCTCTGCGGGTCTGGGTCTTACCCTCCCTTTCGTTCAGTTCTGGGAACCCTATGCTAGTTTGGCTATAATTTCACAATCATGGGTGCGACTTGGCTGTAATTGAAGTCTTGGCTCTCTGACTGACTTCCTATATATACTACATACATATGTGTGTGCAGAGTCGGTTGGTTTTAACTGGAACTTTTGGGTTGTCGTCGAGTCGTTCTGTCTCCCCCATTGGGTGAACCTAACTCCCGAAGCGAAGGTTCCCATAGTTTTTTCCTACGCCCAACCCCCCTTACTTTCCGCTTTAAAGCTCCCAAAAATAAAATAGCGCTGTGTACGTGCCGCTAGTGCAGCTTAGCTCCATAGATTGTCCGTCTGTCCGTCCGTCCGTCCGTCTGTCCGTCCGTTCGGTGGTAATCAGTTTACGCTGACGTCGTTTGCTTACCACTTTCCTCACTCAATACCGCCCCAGAGCCCGCTTTTACCCACTACGCCACTGACCCTGCAACTAAACAGTTAAGGGCATTAAAATAGTTTATTATATATTTTAAATCTAGTTTAAATTATTCCATTACTTGAAACTTAATCATGCCCTTTTAGGGTATTCTAATTTTAGTCAGAAGCTTCAAACGTAGTGAAGTATTCATTTCCGACCCTATAAAGCATATATATTATTGATCAGCATTAACAGACGAGTCTATCTGGCTATGTCCGGTGGAAAATAATTACTTTCAAAAATTTCATAATTTTCTAAGGGGTTTAAATTGTTAAAAATTAAAAAAAAAAATCAAATTTTTTTACATTTTAAATTGAGTATACAGATTTGTTAACCTAACGAAAACTAGCATTGGATTGCAATCCGAATTGAAATCAATGTATTTTTGGCTTAGTTATGATGATTTTTATGATGACAGTGCAGGGGTTTACAAACTAATATTATGTATTATATTATATTCCTAAAGTTACCTTCAAAATAAAAGCGTATAGTTTTTAATAATTCCTTAAAGGCCTTAAAATATTCCTTAAAATATTGGAATCAGTATCCTTAAAGCCCCTAACAAATAACTCGAAAGTTAAATTAGTTTAAAGCAAACCTAATTTGCTGTGCCCTATTTAGTTGACCTCATCTGTGGATTAGTATGCACATTCATATTCAAATCCAAGTGCAAGTCGTGTAGCTACATGCGAAACTCTATGTAAACCGAAATGGTTTTCATTTATTTATTTTTTGTTGTTTTCTTTTTGTATTTTTTTCACTTCTATTTTGCTGCTGTTCGTTTTTCATGAACCGATACTAACACGAGTGCTACTATTTCAGTTGGTTACTAAACATTTAGTGCCTCCCCCCCCGCTGTGTTTCCCTTTCCCCAAAAAAGTGGAGGGAAGCTGACTAAGCGAACGGGCAAGCTAGAAACGGCAGCAGCGGATGAAATGTCGCGCTATATTAACCATATTGCTGCTCCCGGGAGCAAGCAAAAGGGGCTTTGCTTTGGCTTTTTTGCATACTCTTTGCTGTCCATGCTCCCTACTTGGTTAGAGGGGGGGGGGGCCTGGAAGCCCCTTATCCTCCTCTCCCACCCTCCACACGCCCGCCCTTGGCCCGAAGCTGTCGCCTGGCAGTTGGCTGCAGTTGCTCCATTTGTTATTGTTTGTGTATTGGAAAGCCAGCGAGCGTCCAAGTACAGTGGAGACTCACTCGGCTACTTTATAGAATATTCGTAGAATTTTAAATTTTACCAATTTGTAAAGGAGAAATGCTTATCTATAATGCCTCGTATTTATTAATTGTTGTGGAATAATATCAGATAAAATATATATTTTTGGAAGAGAAAATTAGGTAAAATTGATAAAAAAATACTTAAGACTTAACAATCAATTTGCAAATCAATAAATATCCTTAACAAATTTTTTAGCGACTTAACAAAGGCTTCGTAAATCATTTATTGTAATATATTTAATTATAATTATAGAGAAAAATAGGGTCAAGTAATCAAAGAAATCAAAAGTATTGTTTCTTTTCTTTTTTATCTATATTTATTATCTCAGAAGGGTTGAAAATAGGCAATAATTTAATTAAACAATATAAGGGCAACCCAATTATTTAAAGAACTTTAAATAGGGTTCATTGACAGCTTTAATTCGCATATATCCAACTTCTGAAATTGTTGTGTTTAAAGTTTAATTATAAACTATATATCTCAAGTTACTATTTACTTGCATCATAGTTTATCAAGGTTCCACTGTACTATTTGCATGTGTTTGTGTGTGGCGCTGCATTTGTCATTGCTTTTGTTGTTTTTGTACTTGTTGTTGTTGTTGTTGTTGTTGACGTCCACAACGTGATAAAAACTTTAAACATTGAATTGTGATACTTCGTCACTTGGTTGTAAATTGAAATAAGACTACCTCTTGCCTCCCCCCCCCCCTCCTTTTGGCTCACCCCCTCCCACAAAACGCCTTCTCGCCTTCTTCTCCTTTTGACCGTTAACGCGAAATGCGAAGCGAAAGCAAAAACAAAATAGATGGGGAAAAATCAAATAAAAACAAAAACAATTCTCTTGCAATTGTCAGCAAATTTTCTTCAAATGCGAGAACATACAACAACAACAACAACTAGAATTGCAAGACGAAGAAGAAAAGCGAAAAGGAAAACAGGAGAAGAGCAAGTAGAAGGGGGGAGGGTGGAGGAGGTGGGGGAGCAGGCGAATCAGATAAAAAGGAGAAGTAAGAAAGAAGGAGCTGCTGCAATTGAGACATTTGTTTAGTTAAGTTTCAGTTTTTTTTTGTAAATTTTTATGATTTAAATGCGATCACACACATACACACAGAATTTGTTTGTTTATATGTATAGGTAGATGCATACATATATGCATACTAATTATTTATGTATGTGGGAAGCTTTTCGCCCGTTTCCATATATTCCATTCCTCGATTCCCCGATTCCAATTCCACATCCAATTCCAGTGCAGTTTCTGACGCCTTCGGATTTGGCGCTCCTCTCCGTTTTTTACTAGATATATTTCTCAATGTTTTATTTAGTTTTCTGTGGTTTTAGTCATTCTCCTTTACTTTTATTTTGCTTTTTAATTTCCTACATTTTTTTATTGGCGCGAATTCTGTGCAAAATTAAATAAATAATAAACGTGACTGAAATGTATAATGAACTTTTTTCATAAAAATCTCATAAATACATTAAACAAAAGAAAGCCAACAAAGTACGTAACAAAATTTTAAGCAAAGTGATAAATTTGCATAAAAATAAATTGCATAAATAATTGATAAATCTTTTTATGGTGAGT